CTATTCTACACGTCGCGCCTTTGCGGCCAAAAAAACGACTGGGACTGTGGTGACTTGGGGTGACCATTTCTACGGTGGAGATTCCTCTTTAGTCGCTACAAACTTGACATCCGTGGATGCAATTTATTCTACGAGGACCGCTTTTGCAGCAAAGAAGACGGATGGCACTGTGGTGACTTGGGGACACCGATATTTAGGTGGAGATTCCTCCCATGCCGCTGCGGATTTGACATCTGTGGATTTGATTTATTCTACACGTAGTGCCTTTGCAGCAAAAAAGATGGATGGCACTGTTGTGACTTGGGGCGACCCATATTCAGATTCAGGTGGGGATTCCTCTTCTGTCTCTGAGAGTTTGACATCCGTGGATGTGATATATTCTACACGTCGCGCCTTTGCAGCAAAGAAGACGGATGGCGCTGTGGTGACTCGGGGTGACCACTATTCAGGTGGGGATTCCTCTTCTGTCACTGAGAATTTGACATCAGTGGATGTGATTTATTCTACACGTCGCGCCTTTGCAGCAAAGAAGACGGATGGCACTGTGGTGACTTGGGGTGACCCATATGCAGGTGGAGATTCATCTTCTGTCGCTGAGAGTTTGACATCCGTGGATGTTATGTATTCTACAGGAATTGCCTTTGCAGCAAAGAAAGCCGAGGGCACTGTGGTTACTTGGGGCTACCCATATGCAGGTGGAGATTCATCTTCTGTCACTGAGAGTTTGACATCCGTGGATGTGATTTATTCTACAAGCACCGCTTTTGCAGCAAAGAAAGCGGATGGCACTGTGGTGACTTGGGGTGACCACTATTCAGGTGGAGATTCCTCTTCTGTCGCTGAGAGTTTGACATCTGTGGATGTGATTTATTCTACACGTAGTGCCTTTGCAGCAAAAAAGATGGATGGCACTGTGGTGACTTGGGGTGACCCAGCTTACGGATCAGATTCTTCTTCTGTAGCTGAGCATTTTGTGACTCAGAAGTCGGATGGCGATGCTCTTGCAGCAAAGAAGACCGTCGCAGGGGCAAGTCTTAGTGGACCCGGAGGAGATTCTGCTCCAACTGACAAGCAGGAGGCCATTCCTTCTGCGGGACGCAACAAATCTTTTAGTGGAGAAACATGGTTGTTCTTTGCGGCAGTTGCTGCTTTTTGCCCTGTCCTTTGCTTTTCATTTCGCTGGTTTCGGAACGCCGTGCAATATTATCGGCGGGGAGGAGTTCGAGATCTGACGCTTGAACTAATGAGCACATCGGCAGAGTGATCAAAAGGTCTGCAGCAGTCTGCATCAGGTTTCCCGTCAATTGGTGGGTTTTGCCAGCTTGGAGAGAAAGACGGATTCTTCAACAGAGGTTCGGATTTTTGGTTGTGCAGGGCTTCCACTGATGACTTAAACCACTGCACTTGTCCCTTTGGGATCAATCTCACCGATATCGAAATTCAGATGCTTTACGTTTTCCACATCCAATTTGGAAATCAGCAACCAAATCCCATTTGACTATATAGTGTGTATATATATATATATATGAATATTAATGTATATCTATATATATATATATCATTAATATATATATATATTTTTTTTCTGAATAATCTCTGCAGAATCTCTTTCCCCCTACTAGTATGGCTACGTGCCCAACTTCGCCATGGAGATCCCACCGAACATGAACCGCCGGGGTTTTCCATGGGCTAAGTATGCCATGGATGGGCTAAGGATGTCTGATTGGTGGTTTGGAACATGAATTTTATTTTCCATTTCATATATGTGATGTCATCCTTCCCATTGACGAACTCATATTTTTCAGGATGGTTAAAACCAGACCATCATAGAATTGGATGATGGGAAAATTTACAGGAAACCCCTATATTTGATGGTAAAAACCATGGTTTCCTGTAGATTTTCCCTTAAACCAATCCATCGAGACCAGATGTTATGTGTGGGTTATTCATCCCCTTCATCAACCCCGACTCGGCGCTGATTGACGCCAGGTGAAGGTGGTTTCGATGGAGTTGGACGCTGTGAAAGGCATCGTTGAACACGCTTGAAAACAACGAGTGATTTTGAAGTTGGACATGTTAAAACCGTTGTAGATGCCTGAAATGTGACATGAAAGTAGGGGAAAGGGGTTTTCTACGATTGTTTTTGCACTACCATCGCATATCATACCATATCCCCGATACTCCGCATGTAGCATTGATGTTTCTGGGGTTTGGCTAGTTATTGATAGCATGGAGAAGACTTGGGTATCTTGGGTCTTATTCTAGATGCACCGTTCACCCCACCTATGAGACCAGATGGTTGGCAGAAAATTTAAGTTTCGCCACGTAACAGCTTTGCTGCATATCTATTTGCTGGTAGCACAATGGCGCATGGTGGCAAGCCCATCCATTCTGTAGAATATTATGTGCTTCACACTTTTGCAGGAGAACTCGGTTTCTGAATTGTTTACTGTTTAAGACCAAGTTCATACCAACATCCTCCTGGGTATAAACTGTTTACTGTTTACTGGGTATGTGCTTGACACTTTTTTAAGTTATCATCTGGTTATTTGTTACATAGCCGTGGGAAATCACCATTTTTAAGAACGGTAAACTATCTATTTCTATGGGCCATCTATACCATGGCAAACTGTTAGTCATAACCAGAGGGTAAAGCCCGTGTTCAACGAACATCCTCCCGGCCCGGCAGGAGAGCTGGCCCAGATGGCCAAGAGCAAAGCAGCAAAGTTGGAGTGGCTCCTGTTGCAGCGCTTGGCCCCCGAGGCGCTACGTTTGGGCGAGGAGTGGCAATGCTTAAAAGATCGTACATGTATCGGACATACATGAAATTTTGCAGGAAATATAAATATAAATAAATAGATACATAAATAATCATAAGTACATGAAATATAAATACATACATATGAAGACATAAATAAAGAAACAAATAAATAAATATATTATATACTATACCGTGTTTTTCTTTTCCTCTGTGCAAATTGAGGGTCTCTTTCTCAAAGTAGTATAGCTTTTTCAAGCAAGTGACACCCGCTTTCCTCGGTGCCCAGAACAGAACCTGACATGCATTGCAGGCCACCCCAGGTAGTAAAAGCAACTTTTGGGACGTTATTTTTTCAGGTTCTATTTCTTTTCAAATTAGGGGGTGTATCTTCCCACGGTTGGTTGTTTTCATATGTTTTCATATGTTGTTGTTCCCTTTCATCTTACTGGTGCTTAGTAGGGGGAAGGGGATGATTGTTGCAAAATACTTCGTAATAGTCAGTATGGATCATTCCATATCATTCCCCCATTCCCTACTAAGCCGCATCCACAAGTGATTGTATGATTGGAAACAGCCGGAAGCCGGAAACCATCCGCCCCCGCAGCCGGTGCTCACCAACGTGACGCTCTGCGACGAAGAGCGGGCGGCCCAACTGGAGGTGCCGGAGGGGCGAAATCAGGGCTTGAGGGATGTAAGCAAGGCTTACATGGCGGTACCAGGGAAGGACATGGGTTTAGCCAGCAATGATCAGAATGGGTGGTTTCTGCAAAAATACAAAAATCTGTGACTTTGGCAGAAATGATGGCGTTTAACTCGGATCAATGGTGGCGACGGACAAAACTTGGGCTGGTTGGTGGTTTGAGCAGTTGGGTCCCCATGTTTTTCTCAAACTGCCATGGGATTTCAACCGTGTACAAAATCGATCGAAATTAGCGGCATTGCTTCAGGAAGAGAGGCTGCAGAAGCTTTGGGAACTCGAGGGTGGGGCCGAAGAGGAAGCGCCTTGACCTCACGTCGCGACGTGAATGACCTCATGAATGTCAGGTTTGTATTATTGACTTTTTTCCAGATCCATTGTTGGTTATATATATTAACATAATTTAAAATATCCCATTGATCTCTATTCCCTATTAGATACCCATGTTGGATGGGTAGAACCCCAATCCCCATGGTAAGCCCATGGTGGCATAGATTCACTGGAAAGACAGGCAGGATGTGATGAGGTCCGAACTTGCCATCTGAGGAGCGAATCGCCAAAGAATGGCATCTTGGCACTGCATTTTCACATCGGATTTCCATCTTGTTTTGCGTTTTTCCCGCATGTTCCACCAGAGTTTCCCATACTTGCTAGTGTTTTCCTGCTATATACTCCTTATATGTTACACTCCATATGTTTCCAATGATGTTCCGCACATTTCGCCATATAATATTTGCCTGGAGTTTTTCCAACTTCTCATGTGCTTTCGTACATTTTCCACAGTTTTCATACAATTTCCATAGCTTTCCCATGTGTTTGCCCATATATTCCTGACCCTTTCCATACATATTCGGCATATTTTCCCAGTTTTCCGATGTATTTCCCATGGTTTTGCCATATTTTCCCATATTTCCAATATATTTCCCATATATTTTGCATATCTTCCCCATGTTCTTCACGCGTTTTCCCAGGGTTGTCCTTGCGCCGGTTACGGCACGCCCGCTTTCCAGGCGCGGGATCTTGCGCCAGCGTCGTCAAAGCTTCCTGGCCCTGCGCGGTGCCCACCGCTGGCGCCGGCGGCCCAAGGCGGAGTGGATGTGATTTGGGGTATCCATTAATCGTGTATGTTTGGGGGGTCTTAACCATCAGCAATGTGGGGATATGGTTGATTAATGATGGTTGATTGATGATTATTGATGATAAATGATTTGATTAATGGTTATTTAAGACAAGCACCTACCCTCTGGTAAACAAACGTAACTATGGAAAGATCCACCATTTTGTAGCTGGGTAAATCCATTATTTCTATGCCCATTATCAATAGCGAACTGTTATTTTAACAGAGGGTGAATGAGGGTGGTAGTAAATCCATGGGTGGTAGTAAATCCATGTATAAATGGTTGATTTAGCCATGAACAAATGGTGGATTTTTATACCATGAGCAAATGCAATTCTGGTTGGTGGTTTCAAACATGAATTTTATTTTCCATCATATATGGGCCCATTGATTTTCATATTTTTCAGGATGGTTGAAACCACCAACCAGGTAGCAAACTCATTTATAAAAGGTTGATTTGGCCATTTATAGTTGATTTACCACAGTTATGTTCCATTAATAAATTTCCCATTCACATGATGTTGATTTCAATAATTTATCCCCTGTATAGTTGTTTTCCAATTCATGCCGTTTATATATATATATATATATAGTTGATTTACCCATTAAAATTGTGATATCCCTTAATGGGATAATAAACGGGCTAGTTAAAATGGCAATTTATAGTTGGTTTACCCATTAACATGGTGATTTTCCATAGTTATGTTAGTTGTGGTCCATTAATGGGATAATAAATGGGCTAATAGTTAATGGGTTAATGGATGTTAATGAGAGAATTATCCACTAATCATACTATTTTCCATTTGATTAAAAATGGGCTAATGACATCAACTATAATAGAAAATGGAGGATTAACAATAGGATCCATTCATAGAATATAATTAGTCTAGTCAGAAGAGATCGAGGATTTATAAATGGATTAATGAATGAGATAACCCAATTATCTAATGATCCTATAAATCCGTACTCATCAAGTGTCTAAACTTTAATTTATTTTTTGGTTGGGTTCGCACGGGGGGCTTCTTTTTTATTCCTAAGAAAAGCGCGCGAAGCCAACCAATATTTTTTTAACTTTCTTTTTTTTCCGTAAGGAAACCCGCTGAGAAAGAATCTACAATGATATCCCCAACCAGTGGAGGTTTCATAAATGGATTAATTCTATTAACTATAATGATGGAACATGGTGGATATTTGCAGTTAGTAGATGGATATACATATATAATCATCATAATATATATATATTCTTCTGTACAGATGGGGTATATAATGATTGATATGGGTATTATAGTTAGTGAATGGGATTCAATAGGATATAGAGTAACTAAATGGAAGTGTAAAGGGGAATATCATGGGGAGCATCTAATATTGATATTTAATGATGATAGATCTGACCAAGAACAGTGATAGCGGGGATTAACCAATGATATTATGTTTGGATGAAGCCTCTCACCATTTAACCAAGAAGAGAAAATGGCTCAATATTTTTTCATGAAAACTTGTGACATCTTGTGACTAATGTGGTAGACTGAAGTATACTCACCATATATACCATTATATACCAATTTTTTTAGGATTATTCCCAATGATGGATATCCATCACCCACATGATGTACGGTAAACGCATTCTTTCACAATCCCCAATAGAGGTGTATCAAAGGGATGGTTTATTGTTGGGTCTGCCACATTGGTGGAACATGATAGTGATTTTTTGGTTGATAGTGATCAATAGCAGGTTGATTTATAGATTGTGCTTTGTATTTTTTACTGTGCTATTCATGAATTATATATTATGTTATACAATATTGTATTATATTATATTATATTATATTGAATTAAATTAAATTATATGATATTATATTATTGCACTATGTTATTGTCATGGCGAAAAACGTAGTGGTAATAGTGATGGTTTAAGATCAATCAGAGTGATGCTGGGTACTAATTATGGAACATACCACTTACCGCAGTGATGGCCAGTAATATATAATAGTTGAACATAGTGATGTCATATTCCAATAAATCACCATTTTTGCTGGTGAAGTCACCATTTTTCTGAGTTCAAGCACCATGTTTGTTAGTTAACCATTTTTGTTGATTAAATCATAAAAAGTCACAGTTCTGTTAGTGGTTGGAGGCTACAACCATCGATCTCTGCCAGGAGCCTTCCCAGCCCTCCCAGCCCCAGCCGGAGCCGGCAAGGGAAGCGGATGCAGCTGCGGAGGTGGGAGACATGGTTAATGTTGTTTAATATTGGTTACTAGTTAATCTTGGTTCATAATGGCCACTAAGTTGGTTAATGTTGGTTAATAATGCTCAAAGAATTAAAAGTTACTGTAATATTAATTATGGTGAATAATCATATGGGTGATGATTGTCCATAGTTGATGATACGAATAATAACAGTTAAGATGGTAAAAATTGAGAATGCCGGTGAACCATGGTTTATGATGGATTATGTGGTTCATAGTTAATAACACGAATAAGAATATGATAATATAAATAATAATAGTGAACACGAGAAAGGTTGATAATACTGGTGAATCATGTTTCACTATGGTTCGCCATTCAAAGTGGTTGATAACGGTTAACTATGGATTACACTGATTGATAATGGTTGTTAATGGATATTGATCTAGCCTAGTAATATCATGTAATATACCAAAAGATGGGTCAATATGTTTAATAGTGTTGATTAATGACGATGGTGATCATATATAGTAATCATGATTAGTGATGGAAGTAGTGGTCAATGCTGAACAATGGTGTATATGTTTCCTAATCCTTGGCTTTTTGTCGATGATTTAGCGGCAAATCCAAGATAACCATGGTAAAACTGTGGGTGTTATATCGAAAACTGAGGTTTAAGGCACCAAACTCGCTGGATTTTAGAAATTTTCCAGTCTATTTCAGACTTTTTTGGATGGATCAACACCAATCAGGTGTCATTTTTGTAGGGATGAACTAGCCATGAAAAGTGATGATGGCTACGGAAAGAGCCAGGGGAGGAGGAATCTTACCAAACATGTTTACATTGAGAAATTCATAGGATAATTGGGTGAATCCACCATATAGTTTGATGTGGTTTTCCAACTAACAATTCCATTTATAAGGGATTTTCAGTTGCCATGTTTTATTTCTGGAGGGTATGATAATTGGAAGCCATCTGAAATGGGGGATTAAGATCATGATCTTGAAAAAGCACCAACTTATTCAGTGTCACAACAGTGTGGTGCTGCAGATTGTCTTGAAATAGTTTGCTGGTAATCAAACATGATATCATGGTTTGGAAATTCCCTCACATATACCCTCTGGCAAACTAACATAACTATGGAAAGATTGAAAGATCCACCATTTTGCAGCTGGGTTTTAAATTTTATTTTTCAATGGCGATTTCCCAAAAAGTTATGTTAAAAATTACCAGAGGGTATATTAAAAAAAATCGGGAACATGATCATATTCCAATATCAATTTCCCAATATCATTTTCCAACATTAACTTCCAATATCATAATTTCCAGCCGGCAGGGAGGAGACCGAGACCGAGACCCTCGGAGACCCGAGACCGAGACCCTTTGGGATGATCCCTTAGAGATGGGTCACCCCCAATTTGGGTATAGTATACCTAGCTATGAAAATTATATACAGTTACAAAAATTCTATGTATATTAATGATAGATAATCTCTACAAAAAATTGTATGTGTATTAATATACGTATATATACTGTATGTATAAGATATCACCCTGATCAATATGCCCAGGCACCCGCGGCCACGGTCCCCGAAGCGGAACCGGCCACGGTGGATCCGTATTTGTCACGTGGCCGCCATCCGTGGATCCGGCGTTGCCATTGTGGGATGACCCCACTGTGGGATGACCCCAGGGAAATCCGAATCAACAGTTGCAAATGGTGGTCAACATCCCATTTATCATTGGATTGGTTTAAGGGAAAATTTACAGGAAACCCCCATATTTAATGGGAAAATCCATGGTTTCCTGTAGATTTTCCCTTGAACCAATCCATTGAATTTACCCTCTTGTAAACATAGATGAAACTATGCAAAGATCCACCTTTTTGAATGGGAAGATCAACTATTTCTATGGTTAATCACTAACATAACTATGCAAAGATCCACCATTTTGAATGGGAAGATCAACTATTTCTATGGTTAATCACTAGCATAACTATGCAAAGATCCACCATTTTGAATGGGAAGATCAACTATTTCTATGGTTAATCACTAACATAACTATGCAAAGATCCACCATTTTGAATGGGAAGATCAACTATTTCTATGGTTAATCACTAACATAACTATGCAAAGATCCACCATTTTGAATGGGAAGATCAACTATTTCTATGGTTAAATCACTAACATAACTATGCAAAGATCCACCATTTTGAATGGGACGATAAACTATTTCTATGGTTAATCGCTAACATAACTATGCAAAGATCCACCATTTTGAATGGGAAGATCAACTATTTCTATGGTTAACCACGAACATAACTATGCAAAGATCCACCATTTTGAATGGGAAGATCAACTATTTCTATGGTTAACCACGAACATAACTTTGCAAAGATCCACCATTTTGAATGGGAAGATCAACTATTTCTATGGTTAATCACTAACATAACTATGCATAATCACCATTTTGAATGGGAAGATCAACTATTTCTATGGTTAATCACTAACATAACTATGCAAAGATCCACCATTTTGAATGGGAAGATCAACTATTTCTATGGTTAATCACTAACATAACTATGCAAAGATCCACCATTTTGAATGGGAAGATCAACTATTTCTATGGTTAATCACTAACATAACTATGCAAAGATCCACCATTTTGAATGGGAGGATCAACTATTTCTATTGTTAATCACAAACATAACTATGCAAAGATCCACCATTTTGAATGGGAAGATCAACTATTTCTATGGTTAATCACTAACATAACTATACAAAGATCCACCATTTTGAATGGGAAGATCAACTATTTCTATGGTTAATCACTAACATAACTATGCAAAGATCGACCATTTTTGAATGGGAAGATCAACTATTTCTATTGTTAATCACTAACATAACTATGCAAAGATCCACCATTTTGAATGGAAACTATTTCTATGGTTAACCACGAACATAACTTTGCAAAGATCCACCATTTTGAATGGGAAGATCAACTATTTCTATGGTTAATCACTAACATAACTATGCATAATCACCATTTTGAATGGGAAGATCAACTATTTCTATGGTTAATCACTAACATAACTATGCATAATCACCATTTTGAACGGGAAGATCAACTATTTCTATGGTTAATCACTAACATAACTATGCAAAGATACCATTTGAATGGGAAGATCAACTATTTCTATGGTTAATCACTAACATAACTTGAATCCACCATTTTGAATGGGAAGATCTATTTCTATGGTTAATCACTAACATAACTATGCTATCACCATTTTGAATGGGAAGATCAACTATTTCTATGGTTAATCACTAACATAACTTTGCAAAGATCCACCATTTTGAATGGGAAGATCAACTATTTCTATGGTTAATCACTAACATAACTATGCGTAATCACCATTTTGAATGGGAAGATCAACTATTTCTATGGTTAATCACTAACATAACTTTGCAAAGATCCACCATTTTGAATGGGAAGATCAGCTATTTCTATGGTTAATCACTAACATAACTATGCATAATCACCATTTTGAATGGGAAGATCAACTATTTCTATGGTTAATCACTAACATAACTATGCATAATCACCATTTTGAACGGGAAGATCAACTATTTCTATGGTTAATCACTAACATAACTATGCATAATCACCATTTTGAACGGGAAGATCAACTATTTCTATGGTTAATCACTAACATAACTATGCACAATCATCATTTTGAATGGGAAGATCAACTATTTCTATGGTTAATCATTAACATGACTATGGAAAATCACCATTTTTAATGGAACATCAACTATTCCTATGGCTATTTTCAATAGCTATGTTAAAAAACCAGAGGGTATAGGCTTTCAACCATCCTTTTGGCGGCGCAGGATTTTGCAACCATCCACCGTATGTCGATATATATATATAGATAGATAGATAGATAGAGATATATATATATATACACTATATAGATAGAGATATATATATACACATACGATTAATGACTGTTAATCTAACATAATTGCCTATAGCACCTATAGTAATGGTTAATAATATGATTAACAGTGTTAATATTGTTTAATATATGATGGTAATACTAAACCAACTAACGGTTAATGGGGTTAATAATGGTTGATATAACATTTCATGTTGAATACCAACGGTTGATACATGTTGATGTTCTAGCTCTTGCCATGATTTCTATTGATTTGTGATATATATATATATATATAATGTTTAATAAATAAATCTAGTGGGAGGTAAATGGGCATGATCAACAGCTCAAAATCTTGAAAAGTCGGCTTGTCAAGAACATTCCAGCAACACCATTATGATACAATCTTTGGAATATGAATGCCTGTTTTCCAAGGTATGACACAGACTTTCTGGGATACCCTCTGGCAATCAATCCTGGATGCCGATATGTCCATCATCAAACTATAGGTATCTATGCTGATTTTCCTATTTAAATATGGCAGATTTAGTTATCTGGCGATAATCAGAGGCTGCTGGACTTAAGGTTCGGAGCCTCAGATTCCAAACATGTTCACATCGCATGGCTCGCCAAGGTGATCGCATCGCGGCTGCCACGAACTCAGCGCAAAATCAGGCACTGCTTGGTGACTTGTTGGTCTCCCAGTTGGTAAGTGGCATATTATAGCCCTAGGATGCCCTTGTTTTTTTTGGAACTGGGAGCCATGATGAGCCAAGTATAGCAACAGATTTCGCCATGTCCAAGTCTCCGGCGTTCACCCCGGAAGGTGCGACCGCTGGCCGCAGAAAAAAAGGGTTGCCTCACATCGCGCGCCGGGGAAGGGCCGGGGAAGGGCCATAGCTTGGCGATGATTTTCCGACGACGAGGTTTTTCCATAGCTACTGAAGAAATCGCAAGCCACAACGATAAATTAAGCAGCGATACTAATTTGAGTATATATATAATTATATATATATAATTATATATATATATATTTGAGTAGCATTTTGGATATGCGTCGAAGTTCGCGATCCTTTTGGGGCTGAAAAAAGGCTGATCCAGGCTGCGCGGCGCCAGGTGAAGCCTGAAGCTAGGTGGGCGGCCTCATCAGGGGATGATGCAATGATGGATGATTCATGTCCAGTTTAGATGTTTTTTTGTTTGAAAAAAATCCAAACGGTTTGATGCAGTGAGGTAGATATAGGTAGATCAGACCAACCTTGGTTGGGTAACCGGCCGTTTTTCTTGGCATCGTATTGGTTGTAGCAACAATATTTGGTATATTACTTGGCTATTTATATAGGATATGCGTGCAGATGTAAATATACCTGCTCATCGCACACACACACAAGGACACACACGCATGTGTATATACGTATATATTTATATATTATTATATAGTATTATAACATTACCAGTAGTACCGCACAAGGCGGTGGCGGAAGTTTCAAAAATAGGAAACCTATAGGAGAGATTGGTTGTTGTGAATCAGGGATGGCAGAGCGAAGCCACTGATGGACCAAAAGGTGCTTGAGGTCTCCTCTCTCTCTCTCTCTTTCTCTGACTATCTATCTATCTATCTATCTATGTATCTATGTATCTATGTATCTATCTATGTATCTATCTATGTATCTATCTATCTATCTATCTATGAGCTACCTATCTACCTATCTATCTATCTATCTATCTGTCTAGCCATCTATCTATCTATCTCATCTACCCAGCTGGCACCTCTCTCTCTCTCTTTCATCTAATTACCTATCTATCTATCTATCTATCTACCTACCTATCTATCTATCTCTCCCTTTCATCTGTCTATCTGTCTACCTGTCTATCTGTGTTGCAGTGTCATTCAGTGCAATGTAGTGTGGTGTAGTGTAATTTAGTGTAGTGGAGTGTACTGGAGTGTAGTGTAGTGTAATGTAGTGTACTGGAGTGTAGTGTAGTGTAATGTCCTGTAGTGTAGTGTAGTGAAGCGAAGCGACATCTGAACCTCCAAAAGTGGTCCGAACCCCTAGTGTTTTTAACATTTTGACTTCGAAATTTCCTTCGCGCCACAACGGCATGGACTTTTCCGACATCCGAACCTCCAAAAGTGGTCCGAACCCCTGGTGTTTTTAACATTTTGACTTGGAAATGTGCTTCGCGCCACAACGGCGTGCACTTTTTCGACATCTCAACTTCCAAGAGTGCTCCGAGACCGCCAGTTTTTAACACTTTTGACTTCCAAATGTGCTTCGCGCCACAACGGCGTGCACTTTTTCGACATCTCAACTTCCAAAAGTGCTCCGAGACCCTCAGTTTTTAACACTTTTGACTTCGAAATGTGTTTCGCGCCACAACGCCGTGCACTTTTTCAACATCTCAACTTCCAAAAGTGTTCTGAACCCCTCAGTTTTTAACACATTTTGACTTCCAAATGTGCTTCGCGCCACAACGCCGCGCACTTTTTCAACATCTCAACTTCCAAAAGCGGTCCGACGCTGAGGTGTTTTGTACCTTTTCACTTCGAAATTGGCTTCGCGCCACAACGGCTTTTCAACCCTCCGGAGCCACAAAACCACGAAAAAACACAGTATTTCGCGACTTTCCTACCTTTTCGCGCACTTGCATCTTCTTTCTTCTAATCTTCCTCTTCTCTCTGCCTCTGCCCTGCTCTGCTTTTCATCTCTCCATATTGTCGGAAGTTTGACTTCTAAACTTCCTTCGATTATATACCAGTAGTACCGCACAAGGCGGTGGCGAAAGTTTCAGAATAGGAAACCTATAGGAGACGTTGGTTGTTGTGAATCACGGATGGCAGAGCGAATCCACTGATTGACCGAAAGGTGGTTGGAGTTGTGTTTGCTGGAATGGTTGCAATGGTTGCAGTGGTCACCTCACCCACAACTGCTGGATGTAGTGTGACGTACTGCAACTGTAGTTGTAGTTGTAGCGTAGTGGAGTTGTAGTTGTGGTGTAATGTAATTAGTGTAGTGTAGTTGCAGTCATATAGTTGTAGCTGTAGTTGTTTTGTAGTTGTAGTTGTAGTTGTTGTAGTTGTAGTTGTAGTAGTAGTTGTTGTTGTTGTAGTTGTAGCTGTAGTTGTTGTGTAGTTGTAGTTGTTGTGTAGTGTAGTTGTAGTTGTTGTTGTAGTTGCTGTTGTTGCTGCAGTTGTTGTTGTAGTTGTTGTTGTTGCTGTTGTTGTTGTTGTTGCTGTTGTTGTTGTAGCTGTTGTAGTTGTAGTTCTAGTTGTAGTTCTAGTTGTAGTTCTAGTTGTTGTGTAGTTGTTGTAGTTGTAGTTGTTGTTGTAGTTGTTGTAGTTGTTGTTGTTGTTGTTGTTGTTGTTGTTGCTGTTGTTGCTGTTGTCGTCGAAGTTAGGGTAGTTAAGTTAGTGAAGTTACTTAAGTTAGTCAAGTTAGTTAAGTTAAGCAGTGTCTACTTTTTCGACATCAGCACGTCAAAAAAGGCTCAAAACCCTCAGTTTTTTTACACTTTTGACTTCCAAATGTGCTTCGCGCCACAACGGCGTGCACTTTTTCGACATCGCAACCTCCAAAAGTGGTCCGAACCCCTGGTGTTTTGTACATTTTGACTTGGAAATGTGCTTCGCGCCACAACGGCGTGCACTTTTTTCGACATCACAACTTCCAAAAGTGGTCCGGAGCTGCGGTGTTTTGTACATTTTGACTTGGAAATGTGCTTCGCGCCACAACGGCGTGCACTTTTTTGACATCTCAACTTCCAAAAGTGGTCCGGAGCTGGTGTGTTTTGTACATTTTCACTTCGAAATGTGCTTCGCGCCACAACGGCGTGCACTTTTTCGACATCTCAACTTTCAAAAGTGGTCCGACAATGGTGTGTTTTGTACATTTTGACTTGGAAATGTGCTTCGCGCCACAACGGCGTGCAATTTTTCATCTCTCATCTGGCCAGCTGGCTCCGCACCCGCCGCTTTAGCGAGCCTACTTTTCGACCCTCCGGAGCCACACATCATTGGAAAAACACAGTGTTTCGCGACTTTCCTACCTTTTCGCGCATCTGTATCTTCTGTCCTCTTACTCTTTCTCTTCTGATCTTCTCTCTTCTAATCTTCCTCTTCTCTCTGCCTCTGCCCTGCTCTGCTTTTCATCTCTCCATATTGTCGGAAGTTTGACTTCTAAACTTCCTTCGATTACTAACATAAATAAATCACATCATATACGCATAGATATTTATGCTACATGCATGATATGCGCAGGCATACAGGTACGACCCTCTCGCCAGGCCGGAAGCAGTGCCAAAACAGGCCGCGAAAGAGGCTGCTTCTTGCCATCGTTACCGGCCGTTACCACTGTTATAGCCGGATTGGGTATGTGTTACTCTTATTGCCATGATTTGTTGGTTATTTGCAAAGTGAGAACCCGCCGTTGCTTGTTGAGACGATTTTTTGTTAGCCACTGAACCACTCACCCTCATTTACCCTCTAGTAATCTACATGAATGTAACCAGATGTATATAATATCATAACCTGGGGGGGAATGGAACATCCATCCGGATTTACCGGGGCACCCTCGCCGGCACCGGAGGTAGAATGCCCCCTTCGTGCGCGAAGCAACTGAAGGGATGCGCGCGGAAAATGGATCGCGATGGGCACCCTGGGGTAAACTAACATCGATGTGGAAAGCTCATGTTTTTTTCAGGAAAACCGTCTACAACTAGTGGATTTTCCACATCTATGTACATGTTTACCCCAGGGTAATCAACCATGGCTGGAGTTTATCCCTCGCTCCAAACGGGCCATCAACGGGCCGTTGAATGGGATGGGGCTGTGACATTTTTCCATGTTCCAACGATCACTGGGGCAACACTCTTGGTCATCCGTGAGAGCATCGCGCTGCTGTTTCAGCATCGGTGCGTTGTGTGGTTCCAAGTTCCCAACATGGGCCTTGAGGTGAAATATCAACAGCCATGATGCAAGTGTTGGCAACAAATGGCACTGTAAATTCGAAGAACAACTCATCCTTCTTTAGACAACATGACTGTCACTGCAATGATTGTCATTGGAATGACAGTCACTGATATGACTTTCCGGGGTGACAGGTGTCAATTCTCTCTTGGAACTTCTCGGAAAGAGGATGTTCAGAACAAGTGAAACACATCTCACAGCTAGTAGGATTCAATGGTGTAGCTCAATATCATTTTAAGTGATGGAATGTGGCACCAGTAATTTTGTCTATCATGGATTTTATTGATGTTCCCACTTTGTTGTGAGAAGAAACTGGTTTCCCACAGGAGGCGCGTTCCGGGCCCCGCGCGGAACCCGGGCCATGGTGCGGCTGGCCCAGTGAAGTGGAGGGCGTGACCTGAGGTAGATCTCCAACTGGGTCTGTGAATTCGTGCCTTCCCCCTAGGTACACCCCACAAATGACTAAACTAACGTTTTTCACCATAGTCTTGGCTTGAAAAATGGCGAGAATGGATTGGTTCGGCTCTTAATTCCAGGGCCATTTTTCGGTGGGCGGCTGATGGCCAGTTTCCCATGGCATTTTTGGCTCGTTGCTCGGGAGCAGCTTGGCATCAGTTCGTGAAGAAATGGTTGAGAAATACCAGATACCACGAGAAGATACCACAGTAATATCCTCTGGTAAACGTTTACATATAGCTATTGAACATGGCCCAGTCGAAATAGTGAGTTGTTCCCATTATATCCATGGTGATTTTCCATAGTTTTTTGTAAACGTTTACCAGAGGGTACCATTTGCTGCGATTTCATGAGTTGACCTGCATCAATGGTGCAGATGGACCCCTCATGATTTATCCCAGCATATCCCAGCCTCGCAACCTCGCAACGGTCCCCTCTGTAAGGATATACCCCAACATTGTAGCTTTCCCAACCAAGGGGCACCATTAACCTCACTGTACGTCGCTGTACCATGCTCTAACGGACTCTAACGCTGTCGAAATGGTGTGGGAATCATCTTCGCAAACGGCACCCTACTCGCAACTGCGGACCCGAGGGGTGGTGGGTTTCTGCAGCATGGGGGTGACCCAGATTAGATTGGGAGAGTAGCCAGCCAACATATGGTGAAAGCGTATGGTTTGCCGGTCTGCCATACATTTTTCGGAGCCGTGAAGGTAATGACCAAGAAGGTGGTAGCGCTTGTTGTTTATCATATGGGTATGATCAATAAATCCACCAGTGCAAGGATATTATATAATTATATGTGTGATATTATGTATAGTTGTATGATATTGTATGATTTTGTATGATTAATTATCTTCAGGAGCACTTAAACGGCTTCTTTGGTCACACGCCCATGTTGCCTAGAGTCCTGATGCTGTTTTGACAAAAATCCCACATGCTCCATGTCTTGACGATCCCGACTCACTCTCCATTTTCTGGCAATGGCAGCATTATCGAATAATGGATAAGAACCATTTTCATTACCAAATTAATTATCCATGATTTCTGTACCAAGGGTTAACTGATAGTTTCGAATTGTGGGTTGTGGTGATTCGTGATCCATAATCATAGTGCTAATCCCGTTAGACAGTTTGTATTGCAAATCAACACCTAAACCACCAGCCAATGTTGTGCCCCCTTAACATACCTTCATCTAATCTGGAGGCACAACAAGATGATAATTCCAGATATCACCCAAGTAATACCCATATCCATTAGTAGCGTCATATATCAACCGTTAACCCTCCATTCACCAAGCTTGTCATCCCAGATTTCCCAAGATTTCCCATATGGGTTGACCATGGGCCCCTGGAGGACTCAATCCTTGGTCAGCATCCATGAAGTCGACGGCATGGGGGTCACATGGTCTCCGACTGAGCCTTGGTACGATGGCCTTGGCACATGTTGAAATATGTGATATGTCATGGGAAGGAGCACCATGGTCAGACACAGGCTCATATGACTCATATGACATATCTATACGCATTTTACACATATATATATAATCATATATATATATTTATAATCATATATGATTATATATATTTATAATCATATATGATTATATATTTATAATCATATATGATTATATATATAATCATTTATATTTATAATCATATATATATATAATCATATATATATATAACTATAAATATGTAGATATAAAATAATATACATACAAATATGGATAGACTTGAGGTCTTCCTTGGCACATAGCCTCGGCCCCGAGGGGCCCTGGGTGGCCCCCACAAGGCCGGGCCAACACATTTGGATTCAGAGTCAGTACATCTAAGACTGACCGTGACTGCCCAAGTGATGGCTATACATTACATAGCCAGATATATATAATATATATATATATAATAGCTATATAAGATTGGGTTATAATATATATATATATAATAATAGCCATATAGTAGCCATATAATAGCCATATAATGCTTACCCCACATAACTATATAAACCCAACATAAGAAGTGGGCTAGCTGTGCCAAGCGCACTTTTTGTTGTTATTGGTTTTTACATCTCCGAGCGGCAGCCGCTTCGTTCGCAGTAAAGAAGTTCCATTCCAGCGCCATGGGACAAAAAAAGACCGACCACAAATTCGATTGCCTCTACTAGTCTATGATCAGGCAACATAATTTTATCCACTGGAGCCCAATGATACAGATAGACAAATCTAGACGGATAGACAGACAGACAGTCAGTTAGTTTGTTCGTTAGTTAGTTAGATACTTAGCTAGTTGGATAGTTAGATGAGTTATTCTCCCCTGAACATAAAACATTTCCCAGGTGACTTGCCCTGCCTTTTCATTTGCTGTGGCCATTTCACAGGAAGATCCCGTGTCACGGGATGAACGGAGAAACTGGGGCGAAAGTTGCGAGGGAGGGACCATGAAGTGGTTAGTGAGGCGCCAACCCTGGATGAATAAACCCCTGGGTGATGGTGATGATTAATGCCCATCCCTTTGTCAAAGTAATGCTGAAAACTGCGAAGAGGAATTTTGATGGAGATTAAATTGTAATTGTAGAGAATTGTCAATAAGTGGTTGGTGGTTTGGAACCATGGAATTTTATGACTTTCCATATATTGGGAATAATGATCCCAATTGACGAACTCCTATTTTTCAGAGGGGTAGGTAACCACCAACCAGTGGATCTGCGGAAGTTTTTTTTTCCCAATGGACAATCCACTACTTTGAGTAGCAAATCCAGTGATGATAAATGAAGTTAGCCTCCTGTAAACTTATGACTGTAAAGTAGTAACCATATAAATTGATATAACAAATTCATGGTGATTGTTTTTGGCTATGCCGCATGCCATCAATCCTATAACGATAGAACTAGTAATATACTGCGATTGATAGTTAGCCTCCTGCATTTTGTTTAGATGTGGTTTAACCCATCATGAATCCAGATCATTTTTCAAAAGAGAAACCATGGCTTTTCCACGTCTATGGTGAATCCAATTGACAAAACTTGGATTAGATGGCCTGAAGATGGCCTGAAGGTATGCCATGGCTCCTGTAGATTGACTGTCATCGGCAGTGAATAGCCAAAGGTGGAGGACTTCTACTTGCCAAGCAAGAAATATACACATAGTGCGCGTTTTTTTGGCACATGCTGCGAAGCTATTCACAGATCAGGCCTTTTGAACATCTGAAAAGAGTAAAAATAGTGGGGTGTGATACACCCAATTGGAAGGCATCCTTTGTACATAGGTTTGTGATGGTGGGTCTTTCCTTTCAGCATGTCCATTTCCTGGGGTCCTACGATCCTGGGAGTTTTCAGGCTGGTTACATGCAGATCTTGAAGATCGGTTGGTCAATCGCGGCCACCATGGAAAATAAGCAATGGACATTTACCACAAACAACATGAACACATTTGGAACATGAATTTTCTTTTTCCATATATTGGGAATAATCATCCCAACTGACTTTCATAGCTTTGGTTGATATGTTTGGTCAACTTCCTTTAAGACAAGAAAACCAATGCCCGGCCTCTCCCCATCCCAGTGATTCAGGTTGGTTACATCCATATTTCATGATGGTAAAATCCACATGTTGGTCAAATCATGGTTCAATTGTTTAAATCTGGTTGGTGGTTTGATAATATCGGGCAATCACTATTGGGAAATATGGGATAATACCAATGAGAATTGTGAAATATATCACAATACAATGGAAAAATTGGGTAATACCTGGTTGGTGGTTTGGAACCATGGAATTTTATGACTTTCCATTCAGTTGGGAATGTCATCATCCCATTTGACGAACTCCATCATTTTTCAGAGGGGTAGGTCAACCACCAACCAGAAATCCTTTTTAAAAAAACAGTAGGTTAAGATCAATGGCCATTTCAGGATCCTAAATTGGAGGTACCTACCATATATAAGGCCTATTTTTCAGGCCTATGTAAGGGAATATCCCCAGAAAATATGGCCAAACATATGGTACTAACGTACCTTCATTTTAGGATCCTGGAGATCTCCCATTGATAAGAAGTGTTTGGTAAGATCCCTTTCAAAATCGATGTTAGGGACCCTTTCTTCGGCCTGAGGAGCAGCCCTGTCCTGGTTGCTGCAGAGCCCTGATGCCGAGGCGCAGCGGCAGAGGTTTGGTAGAGGTGCCTTCTTTTCTGTTCTGAAAAATGAGGTTGAATTGTGGTAAACCCAAGAATCCCAATAATACTGGGATACAACATGATACAACCAGCAAGATATTCATGGGATATTACGGATTGATGAAAACACATGGACTTGTGGGATAATCAGTTTCATGGGATAACTATAGAATTCACCATGCCCAACAGAGGTTTACTATTGGGTATTTTATATACCTTTGGGATGATGAATGGTTTACCCCTTCCCCTGTATTGGATCTATTAGGGCTTAGGGGTGTAGTGTACTGGATCTATTCATGACGTGGGGGGATTTGCCACGATTGGGGAGGATTTTTTGCCAGACGTCACAGGATGATGATGGCTTCATCCAAACCAGTGGCAAACAGGGCCTGATGAACGCAAAACAGTGGTATGGGTTACTTCCCAATCGCTTCAAATTTAGATGGAAAAAATGATGATAAATTTGGTAAGCCTAAGGCCGTGAATTAGCAATAATGAGGAATTCATCATCAAAGCTGTGGGCAAGCCAGCTGTTGAAGCGCAGCTTTAGATTTTAATCTTATGCCAAAAATGAAGAGGAATCTAATTTTAAGCAACTGGCAGGCAAGTTCTTTGCAGGCTATCTAGAATTGGTGCTGTTTTTCATCTAGGTTGGCCAGGGAATCCCCGTTTTGCAGGATCTTAAACAGCCTTATTTCAACCATCTTTAAGTGAGTGAAGTAAATCAACAATAACAATGATATTGATAGTATTAATAGTTGAGAATCATATATTATCATGATTATTCAGCCAGTTTCTTTTTTCCCCTCCCTAAAATCAGGTGCGAAACGTCTTGGGCATTTTGGCGGAGCGAAAGTCCTGGCTGCTCATGCAGGCGCTGGCGCGCTGGCGCCGGGGAGGGGATCCTTTGCAACAAAGGGCATTGGGAGAAGCAGAATGGTCAATAGGATGATTAATGAGCTGGTTGGTTAATCAATGGTTAATCAATGGTTAATGATAGTTAATGATGATTTAATGATGGTTAATATATGGTTAATGATGGTTAATGATATCTGGTTGGTGGTGACTGGAACCATGGAATTTTATGACTTTCCATTCAATTGGGAATGAAATAATCATCCCAACTGACTTTCATATTTTTCAGAGGGGTTGAAACCACCAACCAGAGAATTATCAATAGATATTCTATAGATAGTATGATTAATAGTCTTAATAACTATCAAATGGTATGATTAATAGATAGTATGATTAATAGCCCATGAACCCATGACTTAAAACTATTGTTAATAGAATAATGGATGATTATTCCATTCACCCATTAACTATTAGCCCTTCTATTATCCCATGAATGCGGTTAAAACAATGTCATAAACCATCCCCCAGTCATCACCATAAATATATAGGTGGTATAAACTGGTATGGTTACCATTCCCAAATGGGTGGTTTATGGCATTGTTTTACACACATGACCATCAATGGTGTTAGTTTTATATAAACGCGTCAATGGTATTCAATGGTTACATTGGGGATTGAATGCTGTACAATGGTGTGCTTCTATGTGTTCATCGTGTTTGAAACACCTCAATAGTGGCGGTTGCCACCATTTTGCCATGAGAAAATTGCAAATTGCTGAAATAGAATCGCGGTCACGTCATGTAACTATTAAACTAGGAGTTACTTGAAGTTCTAAAGCATTAATCTATGGCATCTACTAAACTATCACCAGGTTTAGTAATTCACAAACATGCATCTAAATTAAACTTGGAGTTACTTAGTCAGTGCTTGCACCTTAAATCAAGCATCCGAATTGCCGCTTCAAAAAACCCGGATCAATCACAGCGACCGGGCCGCCGGGCCACCGGTGATCAACCAATTTGCAATTTGAAGTACCCCAAGCGGAGATGTGGTGAGTCCTTTGCACAATCATTATCAGATAAAAATTATGGTATATGATCTGAAATATTATAGTTAAATATAGTGAACTTATGAAACTAATATCTATATTATTAGATATCTTTAGAGTTTTCCACGATTTTCCTGTTAATCATATATGATGATATCTTAGATTTTCCATGATGTATTTTCCACCAAGCATTGCCCAATCCATCTTCGTAGCTTTTCCTACGATCCCAACGTTGGGGCCTCGGTCACCAGGGTACCAACCCATCTTCGTCAGGGTTAAACAAGAAAAATATGAACAAAAACAATGAAATTTCCATTAAAAAAAGTTAAATCATGTTAAGTTTGATGGTTAAACCAAGTTTGGTTAATTAAACATTTTTAAACCATGTTAAATCCCCGCATTTTTCCCAATGAAATCCCCACATGGTCAGGCCCTGGATGACGTGAAGAAGGCGGGCGCCAGTCCCAGACCGCACGCGCCACGCGAACCGACCCCCAGGACACGCCGAGTTTTCCGGGGGGACCGTTGATGGGAATGACTGTTAGATACTATATGGGTATGGATCAATACCTATTAATACAATTTTTAGTGGGATGAACATCCATTTACCAGCTATTTTGATGTTCACCAGGGGTACCAGGGTTTTGACCCATCCCCATATGATACTATATCTGGTTGTTGGTTTGGAACATGGCTTTTATTTTCCATAATATATGGGATAATCCTTCCCATTGACTAATATTTTTCAGCGGGGTTGAAACCACCAACCAGATGCAATATTATGGGAAACATGATTAATAGTTAGATACAATGGGAATTCCCAAATACTATATGAGAATTACTATGTAATATATGGGAATTAACATAGATGGGAATTACTATGTAATATATGGGAAATTAACATAGTAATTACTATGATACTATCAAGTAATGGGAATATCTTATATATGCAATCCATGAAAACATACTATGGGAACCTATGATATTGTAATTTCTAACAGTAATAGTGATACTATAATACTGTTAGGAATATAGAAATCCCAGAAGTGATAGCACAAGCATGCAAAAGCAATTCATCCCTATTTTTGGGGATGACATGGGATGACTGTACTTTTAGTAAAAGAAAAGTCAAAGGTGATGAGGGAACTAAAGAGCTAAGGGATCCGTATTCCCTACTATGATCGGGAGACAGTTGGAGCTACGAATAGAGGTCCCCAAGTACATGATAGTTATAGTAACTCCCGAAAAGATACAAAAGTAAAAGTCCTTCACAACAATTTATCTTACGTTTTTGTTGAATAGTATTGTGAAGAGTAATTACAGCGCAGAATTATCAAGATTTGTCAAGTAATTTTTTTACAGTAGGATTACTGTCATTTGAGTAATCAGTAGATATATAGTAATTTACCGCCATTTTATCTTCTAGGATTTTATTTATCTATTTCTTGAGGAGTCATTACATAACTATCTATACGATGTTTTCATCGGGGTGGCATTTATTTACCCTCAACCAAGCAGATTTTCGCAGAATCGGATGGCATTTTTGTAGCTCACCTGAGGACTTTATGAAATGATTTGTTTTAATTGTATGATTTATTTTTTCGATTTACTGTAAATGTCTATAATTAAACAGGAACTCTGGAAATACGTTATATACTTACACAAAGACAATCCTTGCTGCGCTGTTTAGCAATGGCAAGGATTGAGGCGGCTTGGGATCGGCGGGCTTCCAATGGGCCACATCCCCAAGTTTCCCATAGTTTATCAATGTAAAATTCCTCATTGAAACCTCATTAAGTATTCATCAATTGTTTGTTTCTTTTTGTGTATTAGCCCATTTTTGTCGCGCCATCGCGCAGGGTTGAGCGTGTGATGTATTGAAGGAACTGTCATTATATTTGCTTAGAATTGGTTTGTGAATTTATGTAAGATAATTGGCGGGAAGTTATCCATTCCTTAACGTGAATCTTAAGATCTAGCCAAAAGATATCCAACATCATCATTTTGGTTTTTAAGTTTTCCATCCCTATGCAGATTGCCACCATGGATGCTTGTTGGTCTAACCGTTGACCACCAGGACACATCAATACTCCAATCGCAGCTTGCTGGTGGCTCCGTCCACAAGTATCAGGCGCTCCCCCAACCTTGGTCCTGCCGTGGAAGGTAGCGTCACAGCGACATCACTTTCCCCCTAAGATTAAACACCCCCCAAACGAAACCATGGTTTAGTAGGGAATTTCCACATAATTGGGACCATTTATGGGGTGTTTAATAGATGGGATTATAATAGATGGCGCAATTATGGTGCTTATTTTGGGGAGAATCATCCCAAAATCACCTAGTTTACTCTTGTTTCAGGTTGAATTGATGTCATTTCAGACTCAGCCAGACCAATCATAGATTCCCACGGCCATGTTTGTTTACTGGCCCGCCCCCGCTAATTTGGACAAATGGTGTGTACATGGTGCCAGACAACGGCAGGCTGTTGCACTCCGGGTGTTCTCAAGTATGTCTCACTTTACAAATTCAACGCATAGATGTCGGACTTCAAATGCTTCGTTGCTTGTAGCCAAATGGAAACCATTTTTTCGCATCCACTATGCAACTCATGGTCAGCCAGGACATCAACAACTTGCCATTGACATCAACAACTCTACTGCACTGTAAACCCAAGAATGACACTAAACTGGGCATTGTTTCTTTTGCCATATTCCAAGCATTGTTTCTTTTGCCATATTCCAACCCCACTAAATCTCCCAATGACCCGGGGAACCCAAATCATATTGTTTTTGGGCGTTTTTGGGCTTTCACCTCATGAACCCCCACGTAGTTTACGTGGGATATACCTCAGCAGCGCATGGGTTATGACATGTTTAAAATATCTTCCCATTGTTTCCCATTATATTCCATTCTTTCATATCATTTCCTATTCATGTGGCAAACCCAATGCCACAAACGACTACCATCTGGGGATGGTTTATACATGCCAAAATCAAAAGATGATTTTGCGGGATGATTTATCCTTGGGTTTACCACATTATTATCCGATATTCATAGTTTGCCAATATATGCAGACGATTTATTCCCTGATGATCATTCAGAAGTATTAAAAGACGCTTTTTCGGGGAAGCAAATTATATCAAATTATGATATTCCCCTAACAATTCCCATTGTTATTTCCCATTGATATGTACCAATATATATTATATTATGTTATATTCCCATTGTAACCCTAGATTATTGGACAGGCGCACCGTATTGGATCCCACGGGCGGCTCGATGAGCGAAGCTTGGCGATACAAATGGAAGCCGCTAGGGTGAAAAAGAAAGCCCATGGTATAAAGCCAGCCATTTTTTTTTTGGTGTCTGTGAGTGTGTGTGTGTCCTATTTTTTTTTTATTGGGGTTATATATATATATTTATAATTGTATATGTGTGTAATTATATGCATCACAGCGTACAGACATTGATGCAATGGTCACTGATATACTGTAAATTAATTAGGTCATGATATGGGCAAGACAAAGGCCCCCATGACCAAATTTGGGATAGAAAGATTGCTTTTTGAACGATTTGGGTTTTGTCCAAAAATGTGGATACTCCACCAGTTTCAAGAGGAGACGTCTCGTTGGTGCAAATGAAGTACCTGGAAGGCTATAATATACAAACATAACATATATATATAATAAATATAATATATATATATATATATATTATATACTATCCTCCGGTAATCAAACCTTGCAATCGAGAATCCTATGTGAATAAGGTTTCAGTGGGACAATCACCTATAAATATGATTATAAATGGATGATTTTCGGTTACCATGTTGAATTCCGAGAGCATAGATCACAAAATCACTGATAATCACTGTTATATTTGTGCAAAAGTAAAACGCGTGTATAATCCAATAGTCATAGATTAATATGATATGATGTTCCTTTGTTTTGGTTTTGTGCAGCACGGCCGTCCTGACTGGCATGGGATTGCCACTGGCTACACACTACACCACTGGTGGTTGGGTCATTGGAACCTAGACTTTGGGCCCATATCCAGATTGTTCGAATTAGTTTTGTTGGAAGTCATGGTTAATAAATGGTAGACATTATAGCTTCCATTTGAGTATGATTTGTAAATGGTAGAAAATATAGTTTTCACTTTTGTAGAAACTGCCACCATTTGCCAATTACTGCCTTCACTGCTTAGTCCCGTCTTCGGAAACTCCTGAGAATCACTTTATATTTGTCCGGTCACCACTCCACAGAACAATTCGAGCCAAAACTCCAAAATGTCCCCATGGGTCCTGAGTACCGACAAACTCTGATAATAATACCAATTATTAACTAACTGGGTTTGACAATCATGATGATTAAACTTTTTAAGTTGCTTGTTACGACTCATATGATCCACGTCCAAAAGAGGTCTTCGACAAGTTTTCCCATCAAGATTATAAGTACCAAAAAAAACCGATGGTCTCAGATGGGAGCGACCATTTGATAGGTTTTATATGCCGCAGGCAGTATTCATAGCTATCTTCGTGGAACCTTCCCGTCATATGACTGGATGAGCCAATGCTCAGCTGCTCGTTTTATCATCCGGGTGAATCCCACAGGAATCTTCAGGAAAATTACAAAGCAGTACCATGATGAAACCATGAATTACAATTATAACTACCATTATCAACCATTATTAACTGTTATTAACCATTATGAAAACCATTATCAGCCATTATTGTCAACTATTTAAAACCATTATCATCAATCATAGTCATTATTGCTACAGTCATTGATTCATAATTTGAAATATGATTCTACCATAATTACCCGCTATCAACGATTAATCATTACAATAATTATCCCATTAAAACTATAATCCTTATGTTCATTATTAAAATTATAATCCATTATCCTGTCATAATTAACCATTAACTGTTGATAATCATGATTAACCATTATCAACCATTATTCTCATCCATCATTTCCCGGGGGTTTGTTTCACCCATGAATCATCCATTCAACATTACCATCTAGTTATGACTAACATATCCATGGAAAGATTCACCATGTTTAAGAACGCTAAATCATGCATACATCATCCATAAATCCTCTATAAAGCTTCCAGAAAGCCAGCCAGTACTGTTAATCATGATGGTTATAACCATATGGGTGTGTCTGAAAATAGTGTACCCCTAAACCCAATGGTTAATGATCATTATCCCTATTAAATGGCTATAATTGGGAATATACCCTATTTTCAGACAAACCCATATGTTTTTTTCAGACCCCTGGGGCTTTTCACAGGACCAGGTGTCGCACAAACGCAGCGAGCCCAGCTGGGAGAACTGCACGGTGCAATTTTCCTCGCCGGTGGCCCGGACGGGAAACGGACCGCTGGCCTCCCAACATGACTTGGACCTTGGGGTTGTTTTCGGACGTTTCTATATATATATACATATCAATATATATATAATTATCTAATTATATGCGCATAAATAAATATATATATATATATGTATCCTTTTGGTATATTTTGTAAGTCCCAATGTAAATATTTAGTTGTAATTTAACTTCTATCACCATTGTGAATCATTTGTGTAAATTTGGAGGGAAAGGAAGAAGGGGTTAACCACCAATCAGCTTCCAGATCAAAGTCATTTGGGAATGGGTCAGAAAGCAGTCCGCTCAGTCCTAAGAATCCATGAGTTAGAATGGTCTTGATATGTGGATGTTGAGGATTCTTCAATTTTTTCGAATGGACATTGAAATTAACGTCAACATTGTCGTGCGTTCAATAGAATGTGCCAATCGGTTTCAGATCTTGAAAGCATGTTAATGAAAGCCAGATAGAGGTTTCCCAATATGGGGGTACCCCTAAATTATCCATTTCAATCGGATTGTCCATTATGAATCATCCAGCTATTGGGGTATCCCCATGACTATGGACACCCCCATGTGAACCTCAAAACTTTGGGTAAAACAATGCATGGTTCGGCAACAAGGCCATAGCCCAACTCGACACTCGCCGTTTTTTGTCACCCTTTTTAAGGTCTACCTGGTGGGCGAAGAATCGGAAGAGGCGCTGAAGCTGTTTCCCAGGTATGGATTTAAAATTCACGGTTGTTTTTATGGTAACCAATTTCACACTTTTTTATGGCGGTATTTTATAGTTAAAGCAGCGTTTTAACTATATAGTATAGTCATGTTATAGTCTTATCGTCATAGATTTGTAAGGTATGCAATAGTAACCATTATCATAAGTTAAAGGATACCCCGTTTCCGATACATCATATATATTCATATCATATTTATATATATAGATATACTATATCGTACTGTGATTTACTACTATCATAGCCCTCAACCATACACATGATTCTTGCATTATATTACATACCTCAAAAAATAGAAGATATTCAGCTACCATTTTTGTACCCCATCTTCTATGTGTCTGGTTTTCTGAAAGGCGTTTTGGGAAGAATCACATAGAAGATACTATGTCAAAATAGAGCCAAAACCAGGGTCGGAAAGGATTTTGGAGCCCGCTTGGAGGACCTTGCTGCGGATCCACTTTTGGATCTTCTATGTTTCCGGTAATTTTTGACCCCCATCTTCTATGTGATTTGATCTTCTATGTTTCCGGTCCGGGGCGTTATCTGCAGCCAAGACAAAATGGAAAATGTCAGTTTCAGGGCTATTTGGTATTTGCTGCTGCTGCTGCTGGCTGCTGCTGCTGCTGGCTGCTGCTGGCTGCTGGCTGCTGGCTGCTGGCTGCTGGCTGCTGGCTGCTGGCTGCTGGCTGCTGGCTGCTGCTGGCGGCTGCTGCTTCTGCTGCTGCTGCTGCTGCTGCTGCTGATACCAAATAGCACTGAAACTAGCATTTCCCATTTTGTCTTGGCTGCAGATATCGCCCCGGACCGGACACATAGACACATAGAAGATATCTTTCAATTCTTTGTTGCGGTGATGTTCGTCAAAAATCAAGGTTTCAAAAAACCAACCAAATAGAAGATATTGGTGCTGCTGCTGCTGCTGCTGCTGGCTGCTGCTGGCGGCTGCTGCTGCTGCTGCTGCTTCTGCTGCTGCTGATACCAAATAGCCCTGAAACTAATTAACATTTTCCATTTTGTCTTGGGGTAATTATGAGGTTGGGGTAATTCTGAGGTTAACTTTTTACTTCAAGAACCCTCTTCTGTAGACTTGTCAAACAATATCTTCTATGTGGTTTCTGTAGCTCCGGCATTCCAAAAACCAGCCAAATAGAAGTTCAGGTAATTCTGAGGGTGACTTTTTACTTCAAGAACCCTCTTCTGTAGACTTGTCAACCAATATCTTCTATGTGGTTTGTGTGGCTCCGGCATTCCAAAAACCAGCCAAATAGAAGTTGGGGTAATTCTGAGGGTGATTTTTTAAGAACCCTCTTCTGTAGACTTGTCAAACAATATCCTTTATGTGGTTTGTGTGGCTCCGGCATTCCAAAAACCAGCCAAATAGAAGTTGGGGTATTTCTGAGGGTGACTTTTTACTTCAAGAACCCTCTTCTGTAGACTTGTCAAACAATATCTTCTATGTGGTTTGTGTGGCTCCGGCATTCCAACTGTATTCAATAATTAATTGGGAGGGGTATCAGCCATGGAAATAAATTCAATGAATATCTTCTATTTGATCGGTGTGGCAGAAACGGGGTTTCTGCCACACCCCGTTTCTGCCACACCGACCAAATAGAAGATATTCACTGAATTAATTTCCATGGCTGATACCCTTCCCAATTAATAATTGAATATTTTCTATTTGGTTGGCCAATTCGTACACCAATATCTTCTATTTGGTCGGTTTTTTCAACCTGGTTTGCGTTTTTTTTTCAGAAGAAGTCCATGCAGATTTCAATTTTTCTAGTATCTTCTATTTGACCTGGAAATGTGAAAACACTGCAAATACCAGTTCAGTGCCCTGGTATGTCAGAAGGTCTGCGGGTTAAAACCTAAAAAAGGACACTAAATAACCCTCGAGACCGGCTCTTGGAGGACCCTTTGCGACAAGGAGTATCTTCTATCTGGTTTTACACCCCCAATTTTGCATCTTCTATGTGTTTTAATTATTTAATATCTTCTATTTTTGAGGTATGTAATATAAGCAACATTTGAAGCCTGGCTTCGCTGCATCTCTCCAGGTGGTTCTGGATGTGATCCGTGTGGGGCCAACCAACCGAAAGTGTGAGGTACGAGAAGCGGGTTTTGCGGTTGAAAGGGTAAGGTGATTGGTTGAGTTTTTGTTGTGAATGGGCATATATATATATGTATATATATGTACATATAAATATATACATATGTATACATACATACATATATATGTATATATTTATCAAAGGAAGTTTAGGGGGAGAAACTTCCGTGTTACGGACTTTTAGAATGTCAGGGAAAGAGTTAGTCAAAGAAAGAGTTAGTGAGGGAAAGAGTTAGTCAAAGAAAGAGTTAGCAAAGAAACAGTTAGTCAGGGAAAGAGTTAGTCAAAGAAACAGTTAGTCAGGGAAAGAGTTAGTCAAAGAAAGAGTTAGTGAGGGAAAGAGTTAGTCAAAGAAGGAGTTAGTGAGGGAAAGAGTTAGTCAAAGAAAGAGTTAGCAAAGAAACAGTTAGTCAGGGAAAGAGTTAGTCAAAGAAACAGTTAGTCAGGGAAAGAGTTAGTCAAAGAAAGAGTTAGTCAAAGAAACAGTTAGTCAGGGAAAGAGTTAGCAAAGAAACAGTTAGTCAGGGAAAGAGTTAGTCAAAGAAAGAGTTAGTGAGGGAAAGAGTTAGTCAAAGAAAGAGTTAGCAAAGAAAGAGTTCGTCAGGGAAAGAGTTAGTGAGGGAAAGAGTTAGTCAAAGAAAGAGTTAGTCAAAGAAACAGTTAGTCAGGGAAAGAGTTAGTCAAAGAAAGAGTTAGTCAGGGAAAATGTCAGGGAAAGAGTTAGTCAAAGAAAGAGTTAGCAAAGAAAGAGTTCGTCAGGGAAAGAGTTAGTGAGGGAAAGAGTTAGTCAAAGAAAGAGTTAGCAAAGAAACAGTTAGTCAGGGAAAGAGTTAGTCAAAGAAAGAGTTAGTGAGGGAAAGAGTTAGCCAAAGAAAGAGTTAGCAAAGAAACAGTTAGTCAGGGAAAGAGTTAGTCAAAGAAAGAGTTAGTGAGGGAAAGAGTTAGTCAAAGAAAGAGTTAGTGAGGGAAAGAGTTAGTCACAGAAAGAGTTAGCAAAGAAAGAGTTTGTCAGGGAAAGAGTTAGTTAAAGAAAGAGTTAGTCAAAGAAAGAGTTAGTGAGGGAAAGAGTTAGTCAAAGAAAGAGTTAGTCAAAGAAGAGTTAGTCAAAGAAAGAGTTAGTAAAGAAGAGTTAGTGAGGGAAAGAGTTAGTGAGGGAAACAGTTAGTCAGGGAAAGAGTTAGTCAAAGAAAGAGTTAGTGAGGGAAAGAGTTAGTCAAAGAAAGAGTTAGTGAGGGAAAGAGTTAGTCAAAGAAAGATTTAGCAAAGAAACAGTTAGTCAGGGAAAGAGTTAGTCAAAGAAAGAGTTAGTGAGGGAAAGAGTTAGTCACAGAAAGAGTTAGCAAAGAAAGAGTTCGTCAGGGAAAGAGTTAGTGAGGGAAAGAGTTAGTCAAAGAAAGAGTTAGTGAGGGAAAGAGTCAGTCAAAGAAAGAGTTAGTGAGGGAAAGAGTTAGTCAAAGAAAGAGTTAGTCAGGATATATGAGGTAGTCAAAGAAAGAGTTAGCAAAGAAACAAGGTAGTCAAAGAAAGAGTTGGTGAGGAAAAAAGAGTTAGCAAAGAAATTGTTCCCTCACTGTAAATGGCATTGCAAGTGGTGCTGGTGGAGGAGTTGCCGATGGAGTTTTGGAGGAAGTCTCGCACGAAATGCGTTTTTGAGAGATAGCAGATGCACGAAACCCTATGTTTTTCCATACAAAGTCCGTCCCCGAACCTCGATGATCTACCTCTGCTGTGCGACGGGTGCGAGACGGTCTCGTGTGTGGTCGGATCATGTTCGGATCATGTTCGGATATGGTCGGATCGGTTCCGCATTGTAAATGGGGGTGTCAACAGTTTTTCGTGCATGTGTGGTCGACAGAATTCCATTGTGATTTGCAACTGTAGGATCGTTCCCGCATTGTAAATGGGGTTGCAAGTGGTGCTGGTGGATGAGTTGCCGATAGAATTCCATTGTGATTTGCAACTCTAGGATCGTTCCCTCACTGTAAATGGGATTGCAAGTAGTGCTGGTGGAGGAGTTGCCGATGGAGTTTTGGAGGAAGTCTCGCACGAAATGCGTTTTTGAGAGATAGCAGATGCACGAAAGCTTTTGTTTTTCCATACAAAGTCCGTCCCCGAACCTCGATGATCTACCTCTGCGGTGCGACGGTTGCGAGACGGTCTCGTGTGTGGTCGGATCATGTTCGGATATGGTCGGATCGGTTCCGCATTGTAAAATGGGGTTTCAACTGTTTTTCGTGCATGTGTGGTCGACAGAATTCCATTGTGATTTGCAACTGTAGGATCGTTCCCGCATTGTAAACGGGGTTGCAAGTGGTGCTGGTGGATGAGTTGCCGATGGAATTCCATTGTGATTTGCAACTCTAGGATCGTTCCCTCGCTGTAAATGGGATTGCAAGTGGTGCTGGTGGAGGAGTTGCCGATGGAGTTTTGGAGGAAGTCTCGCACGAAATGCGTTTTTGAGAGATAGCAGATGCACGAAAGCCTATGTTTTTCCATACAAAATCCGTCCCCGAACCTCGATGATCTACCTCTGCGGTGCGACGGGTGCGAGACGGTCTCGTGTGTGGTCGGATCATGGTCGGATCATGGTCGGATCGGTCTCGGATCATGGTCGGATCGGTTCCGCATTGTAAATGGGGTTTCAAGTGTTTTTCGTGCATGTGCGGTCGACAGAATTCCATTGTGATTTGCAACTGTAGGATCGTTCCCGCAATGTAAATGGGATTGCAAGTGTTGCTGGTGGATGAGTTGCCGATGGAATTCCATTGTGCTTTGCAACTGTAGGATCGTTCCCGCAGTGTCGGGTGGTTGCGTCAAGGTTGCTTCGTGCTGTGGCTGCATTGGTAATACTATTGTCTTTTGCAGCTCGATCTCGTAAATCGTATTGGAGTGGCTGCATGAAGGCTGCCACAGTGATTTGTCAGCAGATTTTCTCCATTTTGGCGCTAATGATTTTCCTTCTAAAAATCCTTTTAAACAGTGCTTCAAAATCGTCTTTTTTTCGCTCTGGCGTCGAGATCCGGTTTTGGAGCTACAATTTCCGACGCCGTTGCACGTAGTTCTATTGTGTTTTGCAACTCAGTCTCTGCAGATCGCATTGTAATGGCTGCGTCAAGGTTGCTTCGTGCTGCGGCTGCATTCGTAATACTATTGTCTTTTGCAGCTGGATCTCGTAAATCGTATTGGAGTGGCTGCATGAAGGCTGCGACAGTGATTTGTCAGCAGATTTTCTCCATTTTGGCGCTAATGATTTTCCTTCTAAAAATCCTTTTAAAAAGTGCTTCAAAATCTTTTTTTTTTCGCTCTGGCGTCGAGATCCGGTTTTGGAGCTACAATTTCCGACGCCGTTGCGCGTAGTTTTCTTGTGTTTTGCAACTCAGTCTCCGCAGATCGCATTGGAATGGCTGCGTCAAGGTTGCTTCTTGCTTTGGCTGCATGCGAAATGTCTTTTGCAGCTGGATCTCGTACATCGTCTTGGAGTGGCTGCATGAAGGCTGCGACATGGATTTGTTAGCAGATTTTCTCCATTTTGGCGCTAGTGTTTTTTTGTTGCACGTAGGTTTAGAGCAGTGTGAAGTGTGGGGCGTGAAGAGTGCAGCGTGAAGTGTGCAGTGTGAAGCAAGCAGTGGGAAGTGAGAAGTGTGAAGTGTGGAGTGTGAAGTTTAAGTGTGGAGTGCGAAGAGCTCAGTGTGAAGTGGAAGTGTGAAGTGTGAGGTTTGGAGTGTGAAGGAAGCAGTGAGAAGTGTGAAGTGTGGACTGTGAAGTGTGAAGTGTGCGTGAAGTGTGGAGTGTGAAGTGCGAAGTGAGAAGTGTGAAGTGTGAAGTTTGGAGTGTGAAGTTTGGAGTCGGAAGGAAGCAGTTATAATTTAATAATTTTTTAAGTTTTGACTTTTACGTTGGGAGTGTTTAAGAAGCATTGGAGAGTATAATGTGTTTAATTTGAAGTGTGAAGTGTGGACTGTGAAGTGTGGAGTGCGAAGAGCGCAGTGTGAAGTGTGAAGTGTGAAGTGTGAGGTTTGGAGTGGGAAGGAAGCAGTGAGAAGTGTGAAGTGTGGACTGTGAAGTGTGAAGTGTGAGTGAAGTGTGGAGTGTGAAGTGCGAAGTGAGAAGTGTGAAGTGTGAAGTTTGGAGTGTGAAGTTTGGAGTGGAAAGGAAGCAGTGAGAAGTGAGAAGTGTGAAGTGTGGACTGTGAAGTGTGGAGTGTGAAGTGCGAAGTGAGAAGTGTGAAGTTTGGAGTGTGAAGTTTGGAGTGTGAAGGAAGCAGTGAGAAGTGAGAAGTGTGAAGTGAGAAGTGTGAAATGTGGAGTGTGAAGTGTGAAGTGTGAAGTGCGAAGTGAGAAGTGTGGACTGTGAAGTGTGAAGTGTGAAGTGTGGACTGTGAAGTGTGCAGTGTGAAGTGTGAAGTGTGAAGTGTGCAGTGTGAAGTGTGAAGTGTGAAGTGTGAGGTTTGGAGTGGGAAGGAAGCAGTGAGAAGTGAGAAGTGAGAAGTGTGGAGTGTGAAGTGTGGAGTGTGAAGTTTGGAGTGCGAAGAGTGCAGTGTGCAGTGTGAGGTGTGGAGTGTCGAGGGAAGGACACGGTCGGGACAGGTTGTCTTTGAACTATAGGTCATTTATGTTTGGGAAACTTCCGCCGCCGGCTTGCCGGGGTCTATGTTATCAAGATATATCAACCAGCAAACAAATATTCCTTTTTTGGGCTTGATTTCGAAGGTTGACATGGTTTTGAGCCTCACCTTGAGCTGAGATGGATCGTTATCCATCTAGAAACTTCAAATTTTCCCCCAAAAAAACCTCATGGAATGCCGACGTTTTGGGAAATATCGGAGACGTTTTTCTGGGGGGGTGATTCTTTTTTGGGGGAATGAGGTTTGGCAACTCTTGTTATTGTATGGTTGTTACGATGTTTCTGTTCGTTGAACTCCCGTTTCTGTTGCTCAAAACCACCTGTTTGTCGGGGGATATGGCGGATTACGGCGGGCAATTAATTGCTGAACCATTAACTCCGGTAATTTAGCAGTTTGCTATGGAAAATCACCATGTTTGATAGGAAAATCTAGAAAAATTGGCAATTTTCATCCATGTTAGATGTTTTTTTACCTATTACCATTTCCTATTTCCCTTTTACCTATAAAACAGATATTGACAAATTCCTATAAGGATACAATGTGATTTGTAAAATTACCATATGCCAAAGGGTACCTTCCACTTTTGCAGGGATGACAAGTTGCAACTCACAACACTTCCCACCAGGTAGAAGTGCACACGGCCAGTGGCAGTGCCAAGGAGGGCGAAGAGTTCCGGGCACCTCGGTTCTGGCGATTCTTTGTTGAGAGATACTGGGGGTACAATGGGGATGCACATGGAATATTGTTATTTAATGGTTATATAATGGTGATTTAATGGTGATTGAATGGTGATTTGATGGATTTTAATGGCAGTTAATGGTTATTTAATGGTTATATAATGGTTATTTACTGGGATTTATTGGGATATTAATGGGGATATGATCAATGGGATTGGATATGAATGTGGTCAAAATAATAGTTAGACCACCCATGACTGGGAATGGTAACCATACCACTATAAAAATCATGATTTGGCGGATGGTTTATGATTGTAAAAAAAACCACATGACTGAAAATACTGACGGGCTATTAATAGAAATATTGGTTAAAGTAAATCCCATTGACAAATACTTGATACCATTGTAGTGAATTAATTGGGATTCTTGGGAATATATGGGAATACCTAATGGAGAATTGTGATCGATATAACTATTGGGAAACAAACAATGAATGGTTATATCATGATTATATTTCCCAATTATCATGTTTCTCATTAGTTACTTAATTGGTTAACAATGATTCCCATTAGTTAATTGTGATCGATATAACATTAATGCTGATTAAGGGTGATTTAATTGGGATATACTGCAATGTTGCTGGGATGTTGATGGACATATCATGGAATAATCGTCAACAATTTTCAGGGTACTGTGCATAACACCCCAAAAAAGATAGGACAATGAAACCCTACTAAAATCATGGTACATATTGATAAATCACCTTTCCATGTAGTCTAGTTTACCAATATACTGCACCCTTTGGTAGTCAATCATGGCAATTGAACATCCTTATGTTTTTTTTTTTTTTATGGGGAAAATCATCTATGTAAGGAGGATTTTCCAGCCATACTTGATTCCCAGGGGGGTCTTCATTCATTCCACAGCAGATAAAGAGATCCTTGTGCTGACTTGCAGGTTCAGGGAATTCACTGTACATCAACGGACGCCCGAGGGGGTAAATAATATGAAAGACTATATATATATGTAATTATGACAACTATATTAGAAACTGATTCTGGCCATCTAATCCAATATAAATCAATTACTCCCCCGAGGTTTTTTTGGGCCCTGCCCAATGGTCGCAGGCAGAGCACCTGACTTTGTCCTTTGAGCCCGACGAGGTGAGGTTGGAGTTTACCACCTATCAACTGGTGCAGGATTTCGCTGGCCCATGGAATTTCATGGAATTTACCCGGCCTGGTCAACATACAAAAAACTATGGACAATCACCACTTTTAATGGGTAAATCAACTGTATGCGTGGGAATTTTCATGGAATCGGATGAATGGGATATTCATGAAATATTCATGGGGAGTTAGTGGGATTTGAACGGATATTAATGGAATTTCATGGGATTTGGTCGGTTTCTATGGGATATTAATCGGATTTATAAAGTGGGATATAGAATCACCAATTTTTTGGTGTGTTTGGAAATTGGGTATGCCCCAACAAAGATACTTGAATGGGGGAAATGATGATAAACTAGAGGGTTTGGGTACCCGAATTGGAAATTGGGTATGCCCCAACAAAGATACTTGAATGGGGGAAATGATGATAAACTAGAGGGTTTGGGTACCCGAATTTCAGAAAAACTTATATCTGGAGTCTGAAATACTGCAGGTTATTCCTGGCAAATCACTGAAGTAATTATAGTCTGATGATTTTTCTGCATTTTTGGGTGGTACTGTAATTGGAAGTCAGACTAGTTTTTGGCATTTGTTGCAAGACTCTTTTCTTGCTTGGCCCTTCGGCACTCTATGCTGGCAGGAAATCTTGAACTCCTCTCCTTTCGAGTGGGAGCAGTGGGAAATTTGGAACAACGATGGGGATCTCACCAAGAAATGTGATCTTCACCAACAAACTTACTGGTGCTTGGTAGGGAGTGAGGGAACGATCCACAATAACTAGTAATAATCATCCCATTCCCCCATTCCCATCGATTCCCTGCTAAGCACCAGTAAGGTGATCTTCACCAACAAACAAACCTCAAGCTTTTGAATATCTCATGGGATTGACGATCCGGTAATCTCAGCTGGCAATGGGAAAACATGCCGAAATCACCCCAAACATGAAGAGGTCACGTAGTTCAACCGTTCAACCTTATAGATAACTCATATATTAAATAATATTACCCTCTGGTTATGACTAACATAGCCATGGAAAGATCCATCATTTTTAAGAACGGTAAACCATCTATTTCGATTAGGGCCATGGCTTCCATAGTTTTTTGTACGTTCACCAGGCCGGGTAAATCACGCCGCCCAGCAACGGCCAGGTGTTGAAGTCGGTGCACGTGGAACTCTTTGACAACACTCGTGGCTTCGCACGAATTTCATCCCGGTGGAGGTTGATGTAGGTTGGGGGGTTCCTGAAAATGAAGCTACCCCAAATAGCTGGTTTATTGAAAATGGAAAATCCGAAAATATCATGGATGATAACTGGGGTATATAGATTGGAAACCAAAAAACTCAGAAGTCGATAGAAGTCGTAAATCCTGGTTATCTGTCCGGGTGATGCGTTACACAAAGCATCAAAAAAAAGCACCATATCCAACAGATTGCATATCTATGGGGTATCTCTGGTTCTGGCTGGAAAATCCGCCATTTATATATATTCATTTATAGATTATGTTCCCATTAAAACCTCCGTTAAATGGGTGATTTTCCTGTATTTTCCTATGATTTTCCCATTGCAACTTCCATTTCAAGGGGATTTTGTTTTCATGGCCCATCAAAAAAACCTCGACTCTGCCGGCAGGTTGGGATACCCACATGGAGTTTTCAGCCAAGCTGATGAACCCCCTGGGCGCAGTTTTGGGAGAGTACCTCTCAGAAACACATGTGCGCATAATCGAAGCTTGGCAAAATGCTGAGTGACTCTGTGTTTTGGAACAAGCTTGGAAGAAAGCGACAAAAACGACGCCGGAAACGATGGCTTGTATGGAAGCCAGAAGAGTGGGGATTTACATGTGTGTTCCAGTTGTTTTTTCAAACTAGAATAAGCGGTTCATATGATGTTCAGGTTTGTGCTGAACATCATCTTCCAAGTCCGATTTGCTGCGGGGCAAAGAACTCGTGAGTTTTCAACTCCTTGGAAAGTGGGCCCCCATAGTCCCAAGCTGGAAGGATGATTTCTGACTTCTTTGTAGCCATGCGGCTGGCTAGTATATGTCCATTTCCATACGCATACATCTCTCTATATATATAGAAATAACATGAAATAAAGACATACATGCAGGCATCAATAATGACAGATACATTTTGCACATATATAATATGTGTTTTCATGAATAATTACTGTATACGGTTTTATTGCTAGGTTTTTATGCGAAGTATGCGGTGTGCATGTGCTTGTTCAAATAGAAGTGTGGTCCCCAGTGAGGCAAATCCCGCTTACACTCGACGAATAATCAGTAGCATCATGAGCATCCCGGATCTCATTGGATGTTCCGGTCTTGTTTTGTTTCTCTTGGTGTGCAATGACATCATTTCTTTGGGCTGCTTAATTGACCTCCAGTCACTTGACATATGTCAACATATATGGAAAACCCATGGAAAACCCACCCACAGATGATTTTCCAGAGGGGGCACCCATGGATTTCCAAATGTATGTTCGTTCACAGGTGGGACCCTGGATGATCCAATTCTATAATGGGCATTTGATCATGTTGGGTAATTACTCTTGGGAAATATGCGGTAATACCAATGAGAATTGTGACATATATCACAATAGAATGGACATATTGGGTAATACCAATGATACACCCATGTTAGATGACAAGCAGCTGCGATGTTTCGAACTTGTTCAGGACGACGACTGGTTCCCGTCCAATCGCTTCAAAGAGGAGATAGAGAACAATGACTTCGAACATGTGCGTCACTTGATGACCCAAAAGATGTTGGCAAACCTTGGGAAAAACAAAGATGTCATCCCACCTTCAAATGGGGATGTCGAACCAACAGAATCAGCGTTTGGAAGCTCTTTTTTTGGTTGGATATGGCCTTTATCGAGATATGTTTTTGATACATATTAATCAACGGCATTAGAGAGACAAGCCTCATGAAGACCTGATTCAGTGGATCTATTCCTTTTAGGATTCCAAAACGGGCCCTTATCATATGGGATTGGATGGTTAATATAGTAGCCCGAAAAAAATGCGGAAAAGTGGGCAATATTCCAATATATTCTAATATTCAAGATGTATCAATATGTAATATGTATCAATATGTCAAAATTCAATGTTACATGATTGTACTTAAAATCTGTTTTGCTTTGTTTTGTTTCTTTTGCGGCAAATGGTTTATTGTGATTTATTGTGAACATGATGCCATCTTATAAACCACTGGATTGCCACAACTGGGTAATCTGCAACAGAAAGGCCGTACCAATCATCGAACCCACATCACTTCACAAAGTGGAGCCCCCTTGCTAAGTTGGTTGATAAGTCCAAATTCTATGGGCTATGCTACTTATAATAAAAAATTAATTGTGTGAATCTAAAGCAACATTTTGGTTGGGAGTAGCCCCCACAAAAACCCAGGTAATTTAACATAGCTATTGAACATGGCCATAGAAATAGTGGATTTACCCATTGATAGCATGGTGGATCTTTCCAGTTCGTTATGTTAGCCCGTTTGCCAGGCCGGGTAGCCCCCACACAATTTCCAGGTGAGAAGCTCTTGACGGATTACATCTACCGGAACCTGAGCGATCCGCTGATTCGCATCGGAACCATCAAGATGATTCTGGTCGGGGCATTCGACAGCTCCTTGGAATAGCGATGGCAAGCAAAAAAACGCCCATCTGTTTAAGGGGTTGCTAGAAATGGTGGAAATATATGGAGAAAATGATGGGGAAATATATATAAACCCCATATCGAGAAATGGAAAATATAAATGGTGGAAATAGATTGAGAAAATTTAGGGCAGCCCAAGACGATTTACCTGGGAACTGAATCGAGAAAGTGAAGCAGAAACATCAGTTCCAGATGATCCGTGCATGGCATTTGTTGCTTTCACATAGGGCAGCCCAAGCATTTTGCAATTGTTGATGTTTTTGGCAGCATGCAGAGAACTAACTAATGTTTCATCCGCACACATCCTGATTTACCGCACAGAAAGGGTGAGTTTGAGCCACAAACATGGAGACTATTCAGTCCAAAATCTCTCCGCCGACGACTTGAAAAAAACTGCAGGCTTTTTTATGATGTCCAAGCCGCTTGGAAGAAATGGACTGGGGAATGCCAGCATGCTATAGATGCTTTTGGATGTTTTTTTAGTAAACATATTGGTGGTTGGTTGGTCGTTGGTTCTTCTTGTGTTTTTTTTTTGCTTAACTTCAATTGCTTGTTGGTTGGGTAGCTGTGCTTACTCATCAGATTTGGCCTTCCTGGACACCAGATGGCAGGCTGGAATTTCCCCAAAAATGCTAGATGAAAAAGATCTCTGAACAGTACAGCGTTTTTCTGCGCAAATCACCACAAACATCCTTAGACAACGGTCAAAAAAAAAGGTCAACATGAACTTGTTTAAAATATTGCGTTCCCATCGTTTTCACCCGGCCATTTCCACCAAAGGTACATCGACAGGGTAAGCACCTGGGTTTGGTATATAGATTAATTATATATAGGTTATCATTTTGATGAAAGAATATGCACAAAAGGCACGAGCCTATCTGCTCCCTGGGCTATGGTCTTCGTCATCTGTGTGTTTCATTTTGCCATATTTCTACACCTATGATTGTATGATATTGGTATGAAATGCTCTGCAATTCTTTGGCTTGAAGCCCGAAGCTCCCGTTTTCTTCACATCCCCAATGTGCTGTTGCCACCGGATCTGCCAACTGACCTCCCCCCATCCGCGGGTTTCTTAAACTAAGTCATGGTCATCCATGACAGCTGGATGATTTCAGGGGTACCCCATGAGTTAAGCTCCACATCTCTAATACAGTCATATATCTATTAAATCTATTAATCAGTCCTATCCAATAATCACATTTAGTCACTAATTTCATCAGCATTCTTCATCACTGGTTGGTGGTTTCAAACATGACTGACTTTTATTTTCATATATTGGGGATGTCATCCTTCCCATTGACGAACTCCATCATTTTTCAAGACGGTTATTGCACCACCAACCAGAAGTATAGTCATAGTCATACTATAGCCATTATGTCATAATTATAGTTTGTATAGTCATTTATTATAATTATAGTTTGTATAGTCATAATAATAGCCATCTAATTATATATCCCTACAGTCGGACACCACGAGAATCATCTCGTTTTCAGCGCGAAAAACCATGCTGAACAATGCTGAAGCCCTCGCAGGCTCTTGGTTCATCTCTACATCCTGCAATTCGTGGTGCGGGTGGACTTTCCTGAAACGGAGCTGCTTCTTGTGCAGGCGGAAGAACGCTGGCGACGGTGGATGGATTTATATGATTTTTTTGTCATTCGTGGATGGATTTATGGTTAATCAGTTGGAGGTTTCCTATGAAAATAGTGGATTTACCCATGAAATATCCATGGTGATTATCCAACTGATCATTGATATACTAATATCATTGGATTGGTTTAAGGGAAAATCTACAGGAAACCATGGTTTTTACCATTAAATATGGGGATTTCTTGTAAAATTACCCGTAAACCAATCCAATGATAATACTGGTTGGTGGTTTGGAACCATCGAATTTTATGACTTTCCAAAAAGAGTTGGGAATGTCACCATCCCAACTGACGAACTCATATTCACCCCGCTTCGCGTGGGGTGGCCGCCCACACCGCAGGTTTATTTCGGTCCGTGAGAGGGGCTAAGGGTGGTTTTCCCCCGTGGGGGCTCCCCAAGCTAAGAATTTTCACTTTCCCCCCCCGTGGGGGCTCCCCAAGCTAGGGAATTTTCACTTTTCCCCCCCCAAGCTAGGGAATTTTCACTTTTCCCCCCCGTGGGGGCTCCCCAAGCTAGGGAATTTTCACTTTTCCCCCCCGTGGGGGCTCCCCAAGCTAGGGAATTTTCACTTTTCCCCCCCGTGGGGGCTCCCCAAGCTAGGGAATTTTCACTTTTCCCCCCCGTGGGGGCTCCCCAAGCTAGGGAATTTTCACTTTTCCCCCCCGTGGGGGCTTCCCAAGCTAGGGAATTTTCACTTTTCCCCGCTGTGACAGCTTCCAAAGCTATGGAATTTTCACTTTTCCCTCCCTTGGAGGCTCTCCAAGCTGCGGAATTTCAAATAGCTAGACAACGACGCCTAGATAGTCCCCCAAATCCCGTGTTCTTTGAATGTGTTTCCATGTTTTTGCAATGGTTTCCTTCAAAGCACGGTACTTTACACTTTTGTCGCCATAAAACCGGTCGAAAACATCATGTTCGACAATGCTTCCAATTCCCTTATCTCCCCAACCGTTATCTCCCCAACCGTTGAAAATACCGCTATTTACAGTGTTTTCTTCAATTTTTCCATGTGCCAATGCCGGTAGCCAACTCCAACATATATATAAGAAATCCTTCCAAAACATTGTTTTTGACAGTGTTTTTCCAATGTTTCCAGTCAAACAGACGGTAATTTACACGTTTTTTGCCATAAAGGCAGTAAATCCTTCCAAAACATTGCTTTTGACAGTGTTTTTGTAATGTTTCCAGTCAAGCATACGGTAATTTACACGTTTTTTGCTATAACGTCAGTCCAAAACACTTGTTTTTGCAGTGTTTTCAATGCTCTGGCATCCAAAAACCCTGCAAAATCTTGCTATGTACAATGTTTTTTTCATTTTTGGCCGTTTTTCCATTGCCGGAAAGCTACCAAAATGACCCAAAATTCCATTTCAATACCCTCTTGCGCTCAGACACCCAAAAATCCTCGAAAAATGTCGAAAACACCACCGTATTCTGGTCTCGGTGCGAAACCGTTTTTGGCCCCCCCCCCCCAGCTAAAGCTGATATAGCGTCTGCTATATTAACAAATGTCATTGAGCATTTAGTGTTGCTGTTGCCCCCCAATAAGCACGCCTTCACCGCCAAAGTGGTGTGGGCGGATTTTTCAGAAGGGTTGAAACCACCAACCAGAATATAATAATGGTTAAGAATGGTGATTATTCATGAGAGATATGTGTGTTTGACACTAGTGATGATTGATTGTGAGTAATGGCTATCTATGTCACTAGTGATTTTTAATTGAATGATGGCTATACTGTACTAATGGTTAATACAATGGTTTCAAATGGCCAATCATGGTGATGATTCATGGTGAAACATGATTAAGAATGATTTTCCTCACGATCAAAGATGGTGATGACTTTTCTGAACGGCCTTGTTTTTTTAATGGAGTTACACTTTGGTAATCCATGAAAATCCATGAATCACCATGACTGTTTTAATGGCCATTAATGACCATTACTAACAGTTTGGTCATCTAACATGGCTGGAAAAATCCAGAAGAAAATCCCCGTGGCCTCGCCATGAAGCTGGCGTGGGTGCGCTGGGAGGATCATTGGAAGTCATTGGTGGGTTTACCTCCAGTAATGGTAATAAAAAGCGGGAGCTTGGATCATTTAGATACTGTATGTATATATATATATCTGGTTGGTGGTTTGGAACCATGGATTTTTTTGACTTTCCAAAAAGAGTTGGGAATGTCACCATCCCAACTGACGAACTCATTTTTTCAGAGGGGTTGAAACCACCAGCCAGTATATATATATATGAAGATGATTTATGTGGGATTCACCCAATGCCATAAACAACTATCATTTGGGGATGGTTTTAGAAAAAAGCAAACCATTGTGATGGTGATTCTGGGATGGTTTCGTTTTTTTTTTTTGTTTTCCACATTATATAGTTGAAGTTTAGATCACTTAGATCAGATGGAAATTCATGAGCTCAGCGGGAAGAATGAACTTCTTCTGGTCCTGAAATAGCGGTGATTTCGACTGAATTCCTTTGACCAGAGCTTTGTTGAAACCTGTTTTTTTCCAATGCATTGGGGGCATAAAGAACAATTCCCCAGAGGTCCAGGATTCCGGGATTCCGTCCAGGATCGCCTGGGAAGTTTGTACCTTGCCATGGCCTTCCTACTAAGCCTCTTCGGGGTGCAGCACCTATCCGGCAAACCTGGAGGGTAAGCATCATTTCCCCCATGGAAAAAAAGGTGTTTGGTTCCAACAGGTTAATTGAATTGGGTTCCAACGGGATAATGTCAACCCTGGAATTTAAAAGGCCCTAGGCCTAGGCTGTTGAATTGGGAGGGTAATTGGGGGGCTACCCTCTGGTAAACATACAAAAAACGATGCAAAAATTCACCATTTTTACGAGGTAAATCAACCATAAATGGCAATTTTCCATAGTCATGTTAGTTTACCAGAGGGTACCATTTAATTAGATAATGACTATTGGAGGAGTACCCCCCCCATGGTTTATTAATCCGGGGTGGACATTACAAGGCAATACAAGGTGAATATGGGTTAAAGATGCAAACATTGCAATGTTTTCCCCTTATGGCTGCAATTTACCTAGAATGGGGTGCAATAAGTCTGAACAGATGTCATTTTTGGTGGTACACAGTAACTTTCACACCCGGTGCTGACAGTGCTGGTATATATTTATATATAATTATATTCTGTCTACTTGTAGGCATTTGTTGGAGCGGCCGTTCACCTTCAGATTTGGCCGTCTTTTCCGCTCAAGTTCATGCGAATGTGAGTTCTTTCCATGGATCTTTGGCACGTCAGCGTGGGGGTGTCTGGATTTATCCTTGGGTGGTCTTTCAAATCATCTCTCATTGAGAAGGAGGAGGTGAAACCCTGTGTTTGTCAGTGCAACTGCCATCATAAGGTTGATTCAACTGAGGGTGGAACAGGCTTGCCGAGCTTTGGCATCTGGGTGATTCTCTTTGTTGGAGTGCTCATTCTAGTGGCGAACCTAGCTGTTGCATTTAAGGTGACTGTGGCCAGTAAGGAGGATCAGAAGGAGTTGGCGGTGAGTTGGGCCCCGCAGCAAAAGGGTGGCAAGTCTCGTGGAGTCTTCGGATCCGGCAAAGGTCTTCAGATTTTGGGTTGATGGCTGCCGTGGCTGCCCCACTCCAAGTCGGAGATATCTGCTATCTGAATTATGGGGAAGCACCACCTCTTTTCCATGCAAGGCTGATTTTAGACGTGGTAGATCATGCTGTGGAGGACTATATAGTTGCCAGCCCTGACTACGACATATTCACCGAACAGTGTTCTGATCAGAACGCGGACCTAGTGTCCTTTCACAGGTCGGGGCCAGGAGGTATCCCACCAGTGGGTGTACCTGTTGGTGCAGTGTATGGCTTTGCTCCAATGACGGCGCAGCAGCTGTCGCGGCTCATGAGCGACGGTCGAGTTGAAGGCGCAGCTGAAAGGGGTCGCCGGGGCATTTTGCCAGCCCCTGCGCCGGTCGGAGTGGCCGATGCGCAGTGGATGCTTGCAACTATGTTGGAGGGGCATAAGATAGGTGAGGTCGTGCATCCTCCCCCTGGACACCCTACATTGGGAGGGTATGGTCTCATGACCCTGAATGATAGTGATGGTGCCTCCCACGTTGTCATGATCAAGAAGGTCCACCCAGATGAAGTTGGCAGCTTCTGTGATAGGCAGATCACCTTGGCTAGGCTGGCAGAATCTACAGAGGGGGAAGATCGTTCAGCAGCAGATGACATCAGAACAATGGCAGTACGCTACGCTGCCAATGGGGATAGAAGCAGGTCATTCCGCGACAGCGTCAGCGAGATGGTGGAGGTCCAAATGGATGACTTTCCGTTTGAGCCTCGCACATGTCTTTCCTATTTGCAGGCCATTCAATCAGTTGCTGAAGGTTGCTACTCTCATCACCTGGCTTGGGTGCAGCAGGCGAAACTGCCGGAGGGTAGCCGCGCAGCTTTTGAAGACGAGACGCTATCTCAGGTGTTGGACGTGGCTGTGCGTTTTGATGCGCTTCAGATCTGCAACTTGGCGTCGTTTGAACTTTTAGTCAGGAGAAGGCAGCTCATAGCAGAGGCTCACTCATACAACCCTTCTTCCCCAAACTATGAGGGGGCTAGCTACTACCTTGGCACCAAGTTCAAGCCAGGTGGGGCCATTGTGGTTCCAAGCCTCACAGAGCATGTCAGCAAGAAGTTGCAAGCTGATTCAGCCATCCTGAAAGAACGACGCAAGCTAGAAGAAGCTAAAGGCAAGGGCAAAAGCAAGCAGTCGCCCCACCCTAAAAATCAGGGCGGGGCGGCATCAAGCCAGTGATTGGCTTGCCAGAGCATTTCGCAGTCGGTGCTCTGGGTGTGGCTTAGGCTGTTTTTGACGATATGGTTCGGGGATGGAAGTCAAAGATTTTCCACGAGCCAAAAGCTGCAGATGGGAGGGTGCGTGACATTTTTCCGCTGCCGCTGTTGGCCATTGCCCCACCATTGGATCCCTCTTTGTCCCGATCTACCAAGAGGAGAGTTTTTGCACGACAGGCCATAGCATTGAGGACCAACAAGGCAATCAGTGCGCTGAATTCGTTATACTTTGGGTGCAGCACCGTTGGGGGAGTTCAGACAGTGCAGGATCTTGAATCCCTGCCTCTTTGTCAAGCGGACTGCCTCAGGAACTTACTCAGCATGGTCAAACAGCTGGGGGCCGCGCCTGAAGGTGCACGTTGTCAAGGAGCCCTACAGGCGCTCCGGACAGCCGGGAGCTCGTACGAAGAACCTGATCCCGGTGTGGGTGACGTTGTGGCTATGGATTTGGGACGCTTGTCCCTTCCCTCAGGGAAGGTTGCTGGGGTATCAATGCATAGCCAACTTACAGGTGATGTTAAGGACATTGTGTGTCATTTTGAGGAAACCATGCTACAGGACTCAAGTGTGTGGACAGATTTGGAGGCTGATGCAGCCAAGCTCACGCCGTATGATGACCCATTGCTGAAGACCAGAGAAGGATACCTCAATTTTTTGCATCATTTGCATCAAAGTGGAGTTCTCTCATTCACTTCAGTGGTTCGAGGTCGGGTGGGGGCTTTTTGTGTTGCAAAGAAACCAAAAATCATTGAAGGGGTTAAGGTCGAAAGACAGAGGTTAGTTTTGGACTGTCGAGCTGTCAATCTACTTTTCCGTGAGCCACCGCGGACTAGGCTAGGCTCCCTGTCCAGTGTTTCGGAAGCCTATTTGCCCCCTGAGCACCAACTATTCGTGGCAACCGCTGATATTTGCGATTGTTTCTATGCTTGCGATTGTCCTCCAGGTTTGGAGCAGTTTTTCTGCTTGCAGTCGGATGTTTCAGCTGATGAGGCCTTGTGGATATCAGATGGTGGTTTCAACGTTAAGGATTGGGAGGGTATTCGCATAGCCCCATGCATCAAAGTGTTGCCTATGGGTTTTAACTGGAGCTTTTATTTGGTACAACTTCTTCATGAGCAGGCTTCTCTGGATGCGTTGGGTATCACTGAACAACAACTGTTTTTGGATGGTTCACCTGCCCCCAAACTTGATGCAGAATCATGTGCTACAATGCCGTATTGTGACAATGTACACGTTCTCTCATGTTCTTCTAAACTTTGCCAGGAAGGTAAGGACAAGGTTTGTGGTCGTCTTGATGAAATGGGCTTTGTGTTACATGAGCATACTTCGGCAAGTACTATTACACGGACTTTGGGTGGTATCATTGATGGGGATATTGGGCATGTTCGGTGTACGCCTCAGCGTATTTGGTCTTTGATTCTGGCTTTTGAGTATTTGGTTGATCACAAAGTTTCGGTGGAGCTGGTGCAGCGATTATTGGGGCACGCTATGGTGGCTTGTGTAATTAATCGTAGTGGCATGGCAGTTTTTCGTTATTTATATGACTTTGTACATAGTGGAGCAAAACCTAGAAAACTCAACGTCAAGGAAAGGATGGAGTGCAACATCTTTATTGGTATTTTACCCCTGCTGGTCAGTGATATACGTCGACCTTGGTCATCTACCATTTCTTGCACAGATGCCTCCCCGGCAGGCTGGGGCATTGTCGAGCGGCAGATCGACGCCTCAGTGGTGCAGAGCATTGGAAAGTGGCAAGAGCGTTGGCGTTTCCGAAGGCTGGATCCCTCGGAATGGAAGCCAAGGGAGCGGGCTCTCGGTTTAGACCCTTTTAGGGATATTCGCACAGTTGTGGGGACAAAGTCTGATTTGGATGATTTGGACAACTATGTTGCAAATAACGATTTTCCGGAAGTACCTCATTGTATTCTCAACCCTTCTCATTGGAAAACGGTTTCTATGGGCAAGTGGAAGCATAGTAACGAGCACATCACTCTCAAAGAAGCTAGGGCCCTTCACATGGCTGTTCGGCGTCTTAGCAGAGCAAGCCATCATCGTAACCATCGTCACCTGGTGTTTGTGGATAACATGGCTTTGTGTTTTTCAGCTAACAAGGGGCGAGCGTCAAATTTTGGTATCTTGCGTGTGCTTCAGCAGATTGGCTCGATTTGCTTGGCAGCTTCAATCACCTTGAGAACTAGATGGGTGGCATCTGAAGCCAATTGTGCTGATGGTCCATCACGTGGACAGATCACGCCGGGTCCTTTCAGCTCGCAATGTTCACCTCAAGCCAGTGAAGAGAGCAAATGCCCGAGTGGTGGCGCAAACGTGCCCTCATGGCAAAAAGAAGGAGGTGAGGCAGCTGAGAGCTGGAGATCTGAAAACAAACAGTGGTCAAGCAAAGAAAGCGCCCAAGAGAGTGTTAGTGAGCAAGGACAAAGCGCTTCGCAAACCTCCTCCAGAACGTCGTTCAGTGCACCCGCTGAGGAGACCCAGGCAGCCGAGAGAGCCTTTGAAACAGGCAGGAGAGCGCATGTCAAAGCTAGAAGAGATGAGCATCAGTGCGGAAGTGCAGAATCAGTACGTCCTGTACTACAACAGGTTCGTGGACTACTGCAAGGAGAGCGGGATGTCCATGCCAACCACTCTCACCGACACCGATGTAGCGCTCTCAGAGTACCTGGACTCCCTGTACTACGAAGGCAAGTCCCCTCACGAGGGAGAGAAAACTATGGCTGCCATCGAGTTCCACCGGCTCTCCATGAAGGGAAGCCTTTTCCACTCGAAGAGAGCTCTAAAGGGATGGAGAAAGGCTGTTCCCCCACAGAGCCGTCTCCCTTTGCCCAGGATCATGATGTTTGGCATAGCCATGGAGCTGGTGGCAGCCTCATTTCGCGAGATGGCCCTCTTGGTAGTCACAGCCTTTCTTCTGTACCTCCGCCCGGGCGAGGGGATAGATTTGAAGAAGCGCAATGTGGTCTCGCCCGTCAAGAAGGCAGGGGTGCAGTTCAAGTGGACGACGGTGGTCATCAGAGATGTGGAGGGTATGAAGCCAGACAAAGTGGGCGTGTACGACAACAGCTTACCAATCGACCAGCCCAAGTACAAATGGTTGGGAGACGAGCTGGTCAGGCTGGCCAAAAAGCAGCACGCTCCGGACAGCCACCTCTTCACCTTCAGCATGGAGGAGTTCAGGAGTCAGTTTGCAGCAGCAGGCACAAGACTGGGAGTGGAGGCACTGCACCCATACCAGCTACGGCATGGGGGGGCTACGGACGACCTCACCAGCAAAAGTCGGGACTTTCCAGCAGTCAAGGCCAGGGGCCGTTGGATGACGGACCAATCGGTCCGGCGATACACCAAGGTGGGGCGAGTCCAACAGCTCCTCAACAAGCTGACTCCAGACAAGCTGAGCTATTGCTTATGGGCAGAAAAAAACCTTCACCTAGTCCTGTCCGGAGTGAAAGCTGCGAAGTCTTCGGCCAGCAGATGACTTTTCCTGATGTTTTCACCATGACAGACCGGCCTCGTCGGTTTTGTTTAGAGATATTTGCAGGTACAGCTCGGGTTTCACAGTGTTTGCAGCAGAAAGGTATCAGTGCATTTCCTATTGACACATGTTTGTTCCCCTCACACAATGTACTGGATCCTTCTATTGCTCGTGGTATTTTCAATTTTATTCGGCAAGGCCGTGTTTTGCTGATTTGGTTGGGAATGCCATGCACCACTTTCTCACGTGCTCGAAAGCACGATGGTTTGGGGCCTGGTCCCCTCAGAGATTCGCAGCACGTTTGGGGTTTGCCGTATTTATCGTACAAGGATTTTTGCAAACTGCGGGAGGGTAACCAGCTGTTTCATTTTACACTGAAGTTGCTGCAGTTATGTGAAGAATACAAAGTGCCTTTTGTCTTGGAGAACCCTTTAACATCCTATGTATGGGATTTGCCGCCATTGTTTTCTTTCAAGCAACACACTGGTGCCTTGTATTGTGACCTGGATTTTTGCATGTATGGCGAAGTCTGGAAGAAACCTACCCGACTACTGTACAAGGGTATTGACCTCACATCCCTTCATATTAAATGCAATGGTATTTATAACATCTGTTCCAGATCCAATCGGCCACATTTCGCCTTGTCAGGCCGCGATGCCGCTGGCGTGTTTTGGACGCTGAGAGCTCAACCATATCCGTGGTCGCTAGCATCCAAGTTTGCATCTCTAGTGGCCAGAGCATTGTGAGCAGATGCGGATATGGGATTCACGATGTTTTCTTCGTTTGGTGCACTTTGACCTCAGCATTTTCAACGCAGATGTCCCACCGATTCACCAAACCGAAACATTCTCAGCTGTTGCAGCTGATCTGGCCAAAAAGAAAGAAGAGTGAGGGAGGAAAGCGGTGACATTCTGTCTACTTGTAGGCATTTGTTGGAGCGGCCGTTCACCTTCAGATTTGGCCGTCTTTTCCGCTCAAGTTCATGCGAATCCACCTCCAGCCCCTGCCTCCACACACTGGGATTCACGATGTTTTCTTCGTTTGGTGCACTTTGACCTCAGCATTTTCAACGCAGATGTCCCACCGATTCACCAAACCGAAACATTCTCAGCTGTTGCAGCTGATCTGGCCAAAAAGAAAGAAGAGTGAGGGAGGAAAGCGGTGACATATATATATATACTTACATATTTGGATCATTTTTTGTGATTTGTAAATGATGGTACACATTCTTTCCATGGGAAAGTATGTCCCAAAATGGGCAACCCCAAAATCTCAAGATGGTTCCCCCTTACCAAAAATGACACAGATTTTGGACGATAACTTGGGGATGAGTTGAACTGCATGGTGGGTGTGGGATGGGAAGTAGCTGGAAGTAGCTGGTTGGCTTGGCAACATGGATCAATATGGATCCTCATGCATTTTTTCTTTGGTTCACCTATGTTTACTTTAATGATTTTTTGTTGGTACTTACACCAGAGCTCCTGAACTGTTCACCATTATGGATCCCTGGTGATTCGTGTGTGTGTGTGTGTCTCTCTCTCTCTCGCTGCATAAAATTACACATTTACATACATTGGGGATGGTCTATTAGTCTATCATAGTCTATCAGGCTTTATCATAGTCTATCATTCTCATGCTCAATTTCCTTTATCATATACCTGGAGCACCCAAGCCCTAGGATTTCTGCGGGTTTTGGTTCTCAAGGTACGTCATTTATATCACATTACATCGATTGCATGGCCTTATCATTGGGCCTGGCTAACTGTAGGAATCTCCTCCGAGGCACTGGTTCCACTACATCACCCCAACCTGGCGCGTGGCGGGCCTTTGTCGGCGAGTGTCTTGGCAACCCCACTGTAAGCTGGGGCCCACGGGTCACTAGATTTAATATATGTATAGCAATGTTAACATGACACCAACCATATAAACTGAACTCTAGTTATTTAACAAGCCTGCCAAGCCTGAAAACAAATCTTCCAAAGTCCTATTTGGATCTATTTGGCAGGGTCTACGTGAAGTTGGGGGATTCAGACTCGTCCAACTGCGGGAAAGCTGATCCCCAATGATCGATGCCTGAAATTGGCTGTGGCTCAAAATCTAAGGCCCGTTGGGGGCCACGGATGGCCGGGCCAAATAGGGTTTCATGATTATCCGTACTTGTAAGGAATGCGGAGCCCGCAGACAGCTGGACAAATCCTAGATTTGCATACCTACATAGCTTTCCCACAAATACGATTTGACTTCCTGTTCGAATTTGATCACGTTTCCCCCTCAACATGGGAAAATTCATGGAATTTTCGCGGAACATTCAGAACATTCAGCCATTTTTGCATCCTTTTGCCATAGCTTTCCCATAGATTTTCCATGGTTTTCCAACCCAAAAAAACCGATGGAACTTGCAGTGCCGTTGCCAACAAAGCAGGTTTTGCAGCACGGCGTGCTTTCAGCTTTCCTGCTGCCTGGAAGCAGATTCGGCTGCGAGGGACTCTTTACCTAGGTCAAAACAACACCGGTGTTTCTTTTTTATGGGGATCTGGTTGGTTCAATGGGAATTCCAGGATCCTAAAATGGAGGTACTGTAGCATATAAGGCCATATTTTGTGGAGGTATTCGCTTACATAGGCCTTACATAGGCCTTATATATGGTAGGTACCTCCAATTTAGGATCCTGAAATGGCCATTGATTGGTGGTTTCAAACATTTTTTATTTTCCATAATATATGGCAAAATCCTTCCCATTGACTAATATTTTTCAGGATGGGTAAAACCACCAACAAGGGGATACTATGATTATTGTGGTGTTGTTAACAACAATCATGGTATTAGCTATAATTATGATAACTATGATTAGTACGGTACACCCATAGTTTCTTTTTTTTAATGGGGATACTGTGCTATGATTATTGTTAATGATGGGGATACTATGATTACTAGATATTTTTTAAAAAAGGTCAATCTTAGATGGGTACTTTAATCCTTTAGTCTTTTGGTATTAATGGGATTATCTACGTTCACCAGCTAAGATTTTTTCATTTGTTGGTAGGGTATCTAAGATTGGCACTGAAACCAGATTGTATGATCAACTGATTGTCAAGAAAAATAATGGATAAGAATGGATACCTACATCATGTATCATAATGCATCATAATGTATGGAATCATAGATCTCTTTATATGTCTTTGAATGCATCGAACAACGATTATACAGGATGATTTCAGAATTTTAATCCACATATGGACTCAATGGGACCAGAATATATGACGAGGTTGCGGTTACTAGATCCAAAATAATGCGATAGACTCGATAGACAACATTCAGACCATACGGCAATAAACTCTGGCTACAGGGCTGGCTAGGATATATTCTTTTTTATTAAACATGTTTAGATGAGAAGAGACGGATGGTTTTCCGGAACGATAGGTTCAACTATATTGGACTGAACGAGGAATGTGAACATGGAACATAACTTTAAGCCATTGGAAGTGGATCCCACAAGAAGATACGTAGGAAGAATGGGCCATTCATTACTATCCGCATCGCAAAAATGACATGTTTCAGCCCATAGGATTCTTCAGTGGATCAGGGAAGCGACCAAAAATCCCCGGAAGGGGATCCAATTCCGATGCCAAATTGGTCCCGAAATGGTGCTGATTGACGGCCTTGGGGAACAGACATGACCCCAACTTTGAAATGGTTCAACAACTTTCCCCTCCGGTAATTTAACATAGCTATTGAAAATGGCCATAGACATAGTGGATTTTCCCATTAAAAATGGTGGATCTTTCCAGTTCGCTATGTAACAAATAACCAGAGGGTACCCTCCGGTCACAGCCTGTGCTCCACTCCGACGGATGAGGGTGTACAACGAGGAGTCGCGAAACCACGTCGACAATGGTGGGGTTCTTGGAATGTTTTGCTGTTCGCACATGGCATGTTTCGCCAGCACATGATGATGCACACATATTTCAGAAAAGTTCACCATGATGAGGCTCTATATATATATATATTACCCTCTGGTAAACATACAAAAAACCATTGAAAATTGCCTATTTATAGTTGATGTACCTATTAAACATGGTAAATTATAATGTTAGCCACGTTTATCATGGCCATCTCAGGTCAGATCGTTATGGCTATGGTGTACGACGTACCCAACCTGGTCACGAACGGCCGGCCATGCTCGTGTTAAACGTTGGGCAGTTGTATCTGCCATGTTTACCCAGGATAGAAAAAGGGGGCATTGTTTTTTGCTTTAATAATGTAGTAGAAATAGTAGTTCAGCATTGTGGGGTTAATTCTGGGGTTAAGTAACTGTTAACTTAATAACATCACAATAGCAATCACTAACAAGCACACTGTAAGCATGTTTATTGGTCGGTTGATGGTAACCAATTTTGACACTTGTTTTCAACATATGCTTAGTATTTTCCACCCTGTGTTCGATCATGATGATTACGATTGACTAATGTTTTCAACCACCAACCAGCAGTTGTTGTCGTTTGTTAATCACCAAGTCTTTGACAAATTGTGGTGCGGCTCGTTTTCAGGGCATGTCAGGTACCAACCAAGTCGTCTCAATCGCATGTGTTGCTAGATCCCACCAAGAAAAGAAAACACATTTGTCACTATTACTGTGCTTTTTGTTTTCTATGTTTTATCGGGTCGCTCTAAGCTGGACTGGACAGACTATACATGTATATAATCATATATAATCACCAATAACTGCATGAACTATAAGATCTACGAAGATTAAATCATGCATAAATAATTTCATATAATCATATATAATTACTATAAATGTATTAACCATCATATTTTTTTCACCGGTTGATCAGTTTCCCTGTTTCTGAATGACCCATCTTGGGTCCCACTTCGCCGGGTCATCAAGCATGGGCCAGGCTACATGCACCTCGTGAACTTGATGAACTCTGCCGGGCCCTAACCGATGGAAGTTTGGTGGGGGAAAAAAAACGTCCTGACCCAGGTGTAAACCTTATTTACTGGTTGGTGGTTTGGAACCATGGAATTTTATGACTTTCCTTATATTGGGAAGAATCACCCCAACTGACGAACTCATATTTTTCAGAGGGGTTGAAACCACCAACTAGCATATGTAACCCTTATTTAACATTTCTTTAGGGAATAATATTCCATTTTGGTATTTTTTTAGATATGGAAATTTCCATCTTGTGTAGATCATGTCCTGATCCTTTTTGGACTTCATCGTTTCTTGCAAGTTTGACAGGTGGCATCCCCAATTAGCCAATTGAGCAGCGTCGAAAACCTCCAAAACATGATTTTATAATATTTCATATAAATTAACGTTAAATGAACTTACTTCCGCGAAAGTAAAAACCTCACGCGCGAAAGCGTCCGCGAAAGAGGGGGTAAAAGTTCTAACCGTGAAAGCTCTGCGAAAGCCAAAGCAGAGCCAGCAAGGCTGGAGCCCCAAAATCTATGACGGATGGCAAGGGCGTAAGAGACGTTGAGGATTTTAGGGCCGTTGCAGGATGGCAGGGCCGTTGCAGGGTGTCAAGTACAGTAGCTGCGGAAAAACATAAACTTGAACATGATTTAGAACTTTCGGACACTTGTCCGCGAAAGCCGCGCGAAAGCAAACATATAATGGACGCAGCGTCCGTGAAAGCTAAATGTGTGGTCGCGCAAGTAGCGCGAAAACTCCGTGAAAGCCATGTTTCGAATATAACAAACTCGCAACAAGGTTTTCAACACCGCTCAATTATAGGTATTTCCCATGATATTCCCAATATTACCCAACGATTATACCCAACTAGAAAGTGATGAATAAGCCTATAGTTAGACAGTCCTAGGCCGGGAAGCTGCTGATCATTTTAGCCTTCCAAATCTTCGTGCCGCCGCTCATGGGAAAGCGGCCCACGCTGCTAGGTGGGATCTATACCTCGGTGTTTGTACAGAATATGAATCAACTCTCAGGGAGTCTATTTGATATAGATTCGACACTTGGTGTTTTCTGAGTTGCTGAGTTTTTTCGACACAAATCGTTTCTTTTTTTGGATGTAGAAAACTTATAGTTGTTCATATTTACTATGATGGCCATTGTGCGTGTTTAAAGTGCGCGGTTTCTTCGACTGTTTCCAATCGGGCAGGCCTGGGTCCTGCCCTACTGATCCCTGGTATCACGTGCCTGAGCGAAAGATGCGAAAGCCCATTCGGGTTGAATCTGGGGGTTGATCATGTTTCTCTTGCAGAAAAATCAGAAAATTCGTAATTTGGGCAAAACAATGCAATTTTTACCACCATAAATTGACTGGGAATGGTAACCATACCACCTATAAAAATGGTGATTTGGGGGGCATCTTACCCGGATGATTGAATTTGTTTGAAGTTTTGTGGCCGGAAATTGGGTGCTGATGAGTTTTGGATCAGCCAACATCTGGAAACCATTGAAACTGGGTTGCTCACCAACAAACATGGGGTGGCCAGAAGAAAGAAGATGATCCAACACAGTCCAAGTCCATGGAATTTATAGGGACCCCTGGCTGATGCTACCACTATTCCCATGGTCCCATAGGGTTTCTGGAGTAGTATGGAAGACCTATAGCAGTACCATCAGCCGAGTACCTCTAAATTCTACCCGAGGTACATTTTTCTCACCTTCCGTGCGCAGAGTCAAACGAAGAACCTGCGCGAGGCAGAGAACAAGGCTGGTTCCCCGCGCTCGCTGGATGGTTTATGATGGAACATCCCATTAAAATGGATGATGACTGGGGGTATCCCCAGTAAACCTCAAAACGGGTGTGTCAGACAAATTCCACAGCAATACTGGTAGTAGATTCTAATGATGAGTATAATGCAAGTAGGAAGTAGCTGGGTTACAGTTCACCCTTAAACAGAACTGGCACATACTCGTGTAAAGTGTTCATTTCTTCCCGGCGATCAACATGTTGCAAAGTTGCAAGGATCAAGATGATCTTAAGTGAAAAAGACGTTGTATCTGCAACTTAGTTGAAAGATGTTTAAAGTGTCCTTTGAAATATCACGAAGTCATATCCCACTTCTTCGAATTGTGGATACCCTCCGGTCAACGGGCTAACATAGCGAACTGGAACATCACTGGTTTTGATGGGTAAATCCACGAACTAAATGGGTAAAATCACCATTTTCAATGGGAAATTCGGAAAACTCACTATAAATCACCATTTTCAATAGCTATTTTGACATAACCAGAGGGTGTTTTTTCAACTCCCATTCCCTGGTGAATCCCCGTCACGTCGTCCGAAAAACGTCACGTCCCAGGAAAGCGAACTGATTTCGCATGTCACGAAACTTGGCAGAAACTCCCAACGGCCGAAGGGATCAAGGGGAGATCAAGGGCATAGAAGGGGATCTAAAAGGGAAACTCATGGAATATCAATGGGATACTAATTATATCCAATTATAAATCATGATATATATATATATATATATTCAGATATATATTATATGTGTGCGAAATGTGTATATATATATATATATATGTGTGTGTGTGTGTGTCCTTAATTATTGCATTTCGAGCGTGCTTGGAATGATTGGCTGAGATTACAGACATATTGTTGGGATTGGTTAAGCCCACCAACCAGCATAGAGGGGACATGATACAAACAAAATCAGCCTTGTGCAAATTTGTGAATTATTTCAGGGAGAAGTTGGTGATTTGAAACATGCAAGAGGAACATAAATCATGCATACTTATATACATAGAATCCTCCGCGTTTTCTGAAACCATCCAAACATTAATGATTTTTACCACGTTCGGAACATCTCAAACGAATCAAACGCCTTCGGGAACGCTTAGCAACACGCTGTATGCGCCGCTCACATACTGATGCGCCAGCCAGGTGTAGTGTCATATTAGGTACATTAGGTAACTATGGGCCATATCAGCAACAGCAAAATGGTAGCCCCAATAATGGTACAATGTGAGGCCCCCCAGCTATAAGTTGGTTTATAAGCCCCAGTAACTATAGTTATAAGTACCATAAACCATAGTTATTGGAGTTAAAAACAAACTTAGCTATCTTGGGGGCCTCACATTGTAGAACTGTGTATATAATGGCATATAGACCTCCCATTGGGGATGGTTTTGGTATAATTTAAAATTTAAATCCAATCCCACCCAGTTCCCATGCAGGTCATGGATGGTCAATCTGTTGATCCCTCGGAAGATCTGGGATTTGCTGAAGATTTCTTTTGGAATAATATCCCAGTGGACAATTGGACAATCCACTACTAGGGGAATCCAAAAAGGGGATATATGTCTTATTTTGGGGGTTCCTAAAAAAGCAAATCCCTGAAATGGCGCACCCACCAACGGCGACCAGGGAGACGGTTCGAACCTTCCGATTGATTTCGGATTTTGGTCTCTTGGACAGACCGGAGGACTGTACAGTTGGAGGTGGATCATGTTTCTTGGGTTCTAGTACCTGGATGACTTTGCTATATATTGTCAGTAACAACCCCCATATTAGAATGAAATTGCCCTCCTAGAACCCCCTGTTTTGTGGCATAATTGTTTGACAGGGGCCCGTGGATTATTCGGGTTTGATTGGGGATGGGATTATTGACCAGAAGCCCAAGCTTCGTCGATCCAGTTCTCCCTAACCGGGTTAGGTTTGGCTCTTGTTTCTGACTTTCTTAGACTATAGTGACTATAGTCATGAAGATTACCCTCTGGCAATCTAATGTAGCAATGGAAAATCGCCCCGCAGGAGCATCATAAATGATCGAACTAAATGGCCAATTTTCCATAGCAAACTGTCAAATAACATCAAATAACCAGAGGGTAAGCACAGTCATAAACAAGAATGTAGGAGGGCAACCCCCTTGTGCTTGCCATGACTACTGGGTCAACGTTGGTAAATGGTTGGTAGATGCACGATTGCTAAACATTGGTCACGTTATATCATAGGAAACACATCCCTAAACAATTCCCGACCTTCAAAGGACCCTTATAAATGCGACATGAGATCTAAGATATGATGATTTCATGTCCCACTCACAATCACTTCAATCATTTGAACGGTATCTAATGTTACTGTAGCCAGGGTGGGGTGCCTGCAGTTGAGAATTAGCACAGCCCAGGAAACTGCTGGACTTCCAAACCATGCCCCCAAAACCGCTGGTTGATACACCCGCATGCTCCTTTGAAATGGTACATGTACTTTCTTGAGACTGCGTCATTCTTGGGGTAACGTGAAGCATTTGGGAAGCAACGTCATGACTTCAACCATTCATAATAAATCACAAACTCAATGTCGGACAATTTTGCGGGATTTCATCCTCGTCCCGAGTTTTGATCCCTGATCACTGATCACCATTTGTTGAATCCCCAACTTGGTTGGCTCATCTACCAGGTTTTTTTCAGTTTATCATCCCATTTTTGATCCTGTGGATCTTCAGGTAAGAGCTCCTCGGTGCTAGAGCCTTGGCCGCGAAAAATGTGAAAAGGGGGGCAGCTCATCAACTCTGGCTCGCTTGGCCTTTTCTTGTGTGTTTGAATTCCACAAGTTACAATCCCTCTATAATTAGTCAGAAGACCAATCAAGGGCAACATTTTTGGGTTCCGTTGAACAGCCATTGCCTGAGGAAAAGTTTCTGGAGAAGATTGGCGCCTACAATGCCACAATCCTTGCACCTTGGTTATGGGAAGGCCGCCCTGCAAAATGTACCCCCCAGTTATGAATATGTTTGTCCAAACCAATCTAAGCAGCTCATTTTTTTTGTGGTTAGTATCCAAGATTGGCCATGTAAAGGAGGAGAAGCTTTCACCAGCCAAGAACGAAGTCTTTGGCAGTGAAAGCTTTGCCATGACATGTTTCTTGCAAATGCCTTTTTTTTTTGCGGCCAAAAACATGAGTGTTCGTGTTTGTTATGTTATGAATTTCGAGTTCCTATCCTTAGCGTATATTGTTATCACAATATGTGAACAATCTTGGTGTATCAAGGAACAATATATCCCTCACAATATAACCATTGACTATATACACAACTGGTTGGTGGTTTCAAACATGAATTTTATTTTCCATTTCATATATGGGATAATTTTTCCCATTGACGAACTCATATTTTCAAGATGGTTAAAACATGTTAAGACCACCAACCAGACAATGTGGTATCATGCGCGTTATATTGTTCCCAGATGAGCCAAACGTGTTTGCCATCGCCAGCCGTTCGGTGGAACGTTGGGTGAAACCCAGGCAAGCCTCCAACTGGGCGGCAACAATGCGAAATTCGTGGAGTGGTTGAGCCTTGGACGTTGTCCAGTTGGAAAGCTGCCTTGGATCTGCAAGGGAAACACCAGGAAACCATGGTAACATATATGTTGAACTCTTAACATATGTTTCTTCCAAAAAAAATCTGATGAAAGGATGGTTTCCTGCATGTTTAGTTCCTTAGTTCCAAAATGTCACTCCCCTAGAGGAATCGGTGGATGAAGGACATCACATGGACATCACCATCACCTGATGGCCACAGAGAGAGAGAGAGAAAAAGTCTCTCCGTAGTATCATCATGAATCCCATAACCATAACCCCACATTCCACTAATACTGGCTGGTGGTTTCAAACATTTTTTATTTCCCATAATATATGGGATAATCCTTCCCATTGACTATATTTTTCAAGATGGTTAAAACCACCAACCAGAATATGTTTTATATCCCGATCTCATAAATTCAGCAACCTTCATTGGCCAGAGATGGAAACATCCCCAAACGACCCGATTTTTCCAATGGTCCATAAACTAACCATCTTTATAGTGCATTACTATTACTCAACTATATACTATTATACAATAATTATACAATTGCATTGTGATTTATATTACTCAACATCAACATAAATCCATCCAGTTTCTGACCATAACTTCTCCAGATCTTTGGCTTTGCCGAAACGAAGGACGATGCTGTCGATTTCGCTGTACACCATCTGGGGCGGTGTGGAGGTCATCAACGGTGAGCTGGAGCTGGCTCTCTACGCGCCTGGGCTTAACGCTTAACGGTGACCCAAACCGGTAGCCTTTAGGTCATAGCTGCTTGATGGCGATTCCCCCAGTCATATGGTAATTTTATGTCATTTCATAGGTTTTGATGAGCCTTTTGGAAAATCTGTAAATAATGGTAATGAACCACTTGTTGAATATTTTAAATGGGAAAAGGGGAAAACTATTCGGAACATGATGGATGATTGATGAAGAAACACTGTGTTTTGTTTTACGCACTATTTTGTGACGTACCCATCTAAGCTGAGGCTAGGAAGCGGTTGCAATGACTTGTTGTTAAGTGGTTTGATGGGTTAGCAGCGATCTTAAGAATAGAACAGGGGAATACCGTGTACCACATACCATTCAATAACGAGAATAGGATATTTGACCAATAGCGAGATGGAGAAAAAATGTGAGGATGAATGATTAGGAACATAGCAACATAGCAGCATCGATTCTGATCCCTACGGCGTTGTTGGCCATTTGCAGCCTTTGATTCTGATGGCTCTCCATTTCAAAGGAGGCCTGCACATGCTGAATGCCAACAAAAATAGCATCATAGCCCACGAAAACTCCCTGTGAACAAAACACGTGGCAATGTCGAAGAGCAACGGTAATTGTCAACCATTGTTAACCATGAGGTAACCATTAGGTAACCGATAATCTACAGGAAACCATCGATTTCCCATTAAATATGGGGCTGTCCTGTAAATTTTCCCTCAAACCAATCCAATGATAGAGGAAATCATATGGACATCATATGGAAATGGATTGTTAATGGATTACATATGGCTAATGGATTATTATATAATCATAGTTAATTACAATCCAATGATATTAGTATATCAATGATCAGTTGGATAATCACCATGGATATTTCATGGGTAAATCCACTAAATTGTCTCTTTGGAAACCTCCACAATGACGTCATTTTTTCCATCTGCGAGGTGACCAACATCGGCGTCTTCAACGCCGCAGGCGCCGCCGCCACCGCATCTCGCCCTCCGAAGTCGCGAAGTCGAGCAGCATGGAAGAATGGCATATTTTAATTTTTAATTAACGGTAAATTATGGCCAATAAATGTTAGTGGTGGTTAATTCATGATGGTTAATAAATGTTAATGATTCATAATGGTTGATAATGGTTAAGTAGCGGTTAATGATGGTTATTAAATGTTATCAATGATGGGTTCACAACGGCTAATGAACAAGAAGATGCTTAGTAATAGTAAGTGAGTAATGGTTGGCAACAATGCTTAGCAACAATTCATTACTAACCAGTGGCTATTAACAATAAACAGTGATTGGTAGTGGTTAGCAATGGTCAATGACAATGGTTAATAGCTACTCATAGTTCTTAGCCATCCCCAGATGATAAAGGATGATACCCTCTGGGAATTTAAGATAGCTATTGAAATTCATCATGTTGAATAGGTAAGTCGCCATGTTCGATAATATTTTCCGTACTTATGGTCAAGTACCGGAGGGTAATCTTACGCATGTAGGATCAAGAAATAACAAAAAGAGGTTGACATTCATCACACTGCTTAAATTGAACATGGAACCCTGGAATGATCATATCTAAAAACTGGTTGGTGGTTTGGAACATGAATTTTAGTTTTCCATATATTGGGAATGTCATCATCCCAACCAGAAAAGATCATTTATTAGCTCATCTTCCAGCTACTCAATTTTTATCCCAGTGCCACATGTTTCCCATGCAGGGAATCAGAGGGTAGATGGTTGAGTTCCAACGGGGGGATTTCAACAATGTATCAGCCAAATTTAATGATAGATCTGAGCGTGACTTATATAATATATCTTATATTTAATCTTATATATATATACATCTACATTATATATATAATGTTCACAAAACTGGAAGCTAGTTTTCATGTCAGATATTCAAATCATAGCCACAGATTCCCAAGATTTCCCAAGCCTTCCCGGTTGAACTACGGCTTGCTCCGACGGTGCCGACACCTGAGGATTTGTGCCATGTTCTGCTGGAAATGCAAAAGGTAACGCCTTCTTTAGAGCCTCTGGCGGCAGAACGCCAGTGAATTCCCATCGGAAACCATCCTATTCACCAACCACAAGGGTGGGTCAGAATATAATAGAATAAACTAGAAGGAAAATACGCAAAAAAATAATGCATTGATTCATTATTCTAATTAATTAGTTATTTTATATATGCTGATTTGTTGTTTAAGTGTTGAATCATTACTTATGTCTTATTATTACTACTTATATTTCTTATTCGGCACGTCTCACCCGGGTAGATCCTGACATTTCGGGTTGATCAGGAATTCTGAAGATCAACAGATGATCTAAGCAAATGTTTCCATTTGATTCCATTTGTATCCATTTATCTTGTTTCCTTCTCACTATGGGAATTAATGGGTAAAAAAAACAGGGGTCCATCTCCAATTTCGGAAAACTTCAGATTGGCCAATTTGACTTTTAATTGATCCCCGTTAGAAAACAAATTCAAAATAAAGCTACCATTTGTGGGTTTTGCCCCCTAATACTAAAAACTAGTTAACCCCGGTGTGTTTATTATTAGGATCCGTCCGAAAATTTTGAGTTTTTCATATTAGGGCTTTTAATTTATTATTAGCCCGCTTCGAGATTCCAAAAAAAATAGAAATATTTTTATTGCATTATATAAGGAGATTTAATTGATTTTGAAAGCGAACAATGTAGTTTTTATTATAAAGGTTTTTATTTTATTAATAGGGTCCGCTTCGAAATCCAATTTTTGGCAATATTTTAATTGCATTATGTAAGGAAATTTAAATGATTTTCAAATCGAATAAACTAGTTTCTATTATTAAGGTTTTAATTTTATTAATAGGGTCCGCTTCGAAACCCATTTTTTGGCAATATTTTAATTGCGTTATATAAGGAAATTTACCTGATTTTGAAATCGAACAAACTAGTTTTTATTATTAAGGGTTTAATTTTATTAATAGGGTCCGCTTCGAAATCCAATTTTTGGCAATATTTTTATTGCTTTATATAAGGAAATTTACCTGATTTTGAAATCGAACAAACTAGTTTTTATTATTACGGTTTTAATTTTATTAATAGGGTCCGCTTCGAAATCCTTTTTTGGGAAATATGTTAATTGCTTTATATAAGGAAATTTAATTGATTTTGAGATTGGAAAAAATATTATTAAGGTTTTAAATTTATTAATCTCTTCCTCCTATATAACTACTGAATAACATGAATTCGACTTTGGTTCCCTAATAATGAATACCCCCCTAATAATAAAAACTACCTGATGTGTTTATTAATAGGGGGGGTTTAGTATTAGGAGGAAGGGATTATATCATCTGCCAATCACCATTTTTAGAGGTCCCACGTCATGGTGCCGTGACCGAGGAACGCTTGGTGCGCTACATCAACATGCCCACGGACTTGCCAAAGCGCCTCTCGGAGCACAGTGGACGTCACAGTGGCGTCACAGTGGAGTCACGGTGAAATGGCGCATTAACGGTGTTGAAAGAATGACCGAATGTCAACCCCGGATGAATAAAATGGCTGTTTCATGATTTTACTTGGAAAGGTACCATGTAAGTATCAGATTGTGACAGATTATGACTATTTGTGGAGGACCTCCATAATTAATAAACCATGGTTTATTAATCTGGGGTTGACATGCGGCGAAATTGAATCGAATTAAGAGTTCGAATTGATGGAGTTGGAAATCAAAAGAATGTCAGTTATATAACAGAACTGATGCGAACTATTGGTCAAATGTCAAAGATGTTGATTCATCCATGGGGGAAGTTTGGGGAAGCCATCTTTAAACTATGCTGAACGGGTGAAATGCCATGATTTTGCATAGTTCCAAGACTTGCTGAGTCGATGTTTTTCCCCACGTGCCAGGTGAGGGTTGTTAGATTTTATCAGAGCTGTTCTCCTCCTCGTCCTCCTCCTCCTCCTCCTCCTCCCCCTCTAGTTTCTCCTCGACCATGTCTGCATCAACTTCCACCTCCACTTCCGCCTTGCCAACTCTTCGCCAAGCTCTTTGCCAACTCTCTTCGCCAAGCTCTTTGCCAACTTCCCAGCTCAGTGTGCTGGACCTCAACCTGGGATTTGCCCAGCGCAGTGTGCACCGCTGGACCTCAACCGGGGACCTCCCCAGCTCAGTGTGCACTGCTGGACCTCAACGGGCAGATAGAATACCAGAAGATATGCCAGATAGAATGTCAGATGGAATGCCAGAAGATATGCCAGATAGAATTCCATGAGATATGCCAAATAGAATGCCAGAAGATATGTCAGATAGAATGCCAGAAGATTTGCCAGTAACAAATCGGTAAATGTCATGGTGGGGATCACTCGAAGTAAAGTAATTTTATTATTATTTTCCCATTGGTGGTCCCCTTAAGCGAATCCAAATGGTGAAGCCCCAAGATATCCTGATTGTAAGTTTTCTTTTTAATGCAATTTATTGCTTTCCCAACTACACGTTCGATGTATACGGTCTTGAAAGTGGATACCCGGTGATAGTCACATTGTGATCCAGTGAGATATCACCCAGTAGTATATACATATGTATTATTTTGAATCAAATAAGTAATCATATAGAACTCGCACAAGGAAAACAATATACTGTATATTTATCTGTATATCATATAACTTTTACAAAACTGATCTGGATGTCATCCTTCCCATTGACTAATACTTTTCAGAGGGGTGGCTCAACCACCAACCAGCTGATACTTGTAGCTTCAATACCCTCTGGTAATTTAACATAGCTATTGAAAATGGCCCAGTCGAAATAGTTGATTTGCCCAGCTTAAAAATGTTGGATCTTTCCATGGTTATGTTAGCCCGTTTACCAGAGGGTATATCCACTAACATCCCTGTTTTTTGGTTGATCAAACCTCTATAATCACCATATTAAACCCATTAAACCACCATAAACCCTCATTAAATCACAATTTTCCTATGGTTTTCCTATGGTTTTCCTATGTAAACCATGGATTTTCCGGGCCGCCCACGCGCGAATCGAGGCATGGATCTGGAACGGCACCGGCGTGTGGCCACCAGTCGTTTGGCCGCCGAGACCAGGGATGACATGGGACCAGGAGCCGTCGCGTTTCTGTCGCGGAAATCGCGGCGTGGCGTAGCAGCCGGTGTCAAAGGTGGAGGAACCCCATGGAAAATCATGAAAAAACCTAGAAAAAACATGGAAAATCCTGGGAAAATCATGAAGAATCCTAGAAAAACCATGGTGATTCCTGGTGATTTCATTGGGATTTCATTGGGAGATAGCCTCTAATATCAAACACAGCTGGCTGGAGAATCCATGACAATCCTCTATAAATGGTGGACTTTCCAGCAAGCCATGGCAATGGAAAACTCCTCATTTATCTAGGATTTTCCCAGCTAGAAACCTCCATTTTGAATGGGTATTTTCTAGCTAGCCACGGTTGATTGCCAGAGGGTAAATGGGGGGAGATGGGAAATCACATGGCATTAAAATGGGGTAATCATATGGGGGGAATTGAAATTGGGGGAGATTGATGTTCACAGATATTACTATGATGGAGAATGGACGAATTATTGTTGTTAACATCCCTGATTTCTCAAGCAACACAAAACTGATTAGGTGTTGGTAAATCACCTGTGAATGTGTGGGGGTAATATTGTGGTGATACAATGGGGGAACCTGCCATGTGGTTGGCAACCCCAAATCTTCTTATTTCAGGCTTCAGGTTGGTGGATTTTTTGAAAGAACTCAGTCACAGCCAGATGAATGACCAGGAAAAGGGAGATTTCAAGAGGGAAAATGCATGAAAGTCCTCACTGCGACCGAGCCCTGGAATCATGGTTAATAAGGGAAATCAGCCTTAATTCAGGTTAGTGAAATATTATAATTTACTCAGATTTTTGAAGCATCAGCAGAAGAAGGGATGATTTTACCCAAACAAGCAGGGAGATGCAATGGAGTCTATAAGCACGGGATGACTGGCGGGATGCATGAATAGGGATTTATTCAATGATCAGAGGTAAAATGCGGATCTAACCCATATAACACCAGGTTCAGATAACGGGACTGTGAAATGTGGTTAATGGTTTGTTCCAGTGAAAAGTTAGACTTCCGGAAAGTGACCAGCTATGCAGGATGAACCAGCAATGGATGGAAATGTGCATAGCCTTATGAAGAAACAATGGAAGTTTCATCCATGGTGTGATTTACCCATGGATGCAACAGAGGAAACAAAGATACCAAGAGAAAGGATGGGTTGTGTTTCCTTTGAGATATCCACCTTTCGCGGTTACGACCGTTGTGCTCTGTTCGGTCGCAGGATTCGTGCTGGAGAGGTTGCCCATTGCCGCTGGGTGTGACCATCTTGGTGAACACCGGCGATCATTTCCCATAGTCAATGGCCAGTTCAGGAACCTAAATTGGAGGTACCTACCATGTATAAGGCCTATATAAGGCCCATTGACATAGTTTCCCATATAGTTTCCCACTTAAAAATGCTGATGTCAGGGTAAGGTCATCATCCCATCATCCGTTGAAAAAAGGCGGGGCTGAAGCTATTCGGAAATGCGCGTGACGAAAAAACAAAAGGACTTTTCAAAGGTCAGCTTGGCGAAAACATGGTGATCATTTATGGTCTGGTTGGTGGTTTCAAACATGTTTTATTTTCCATATGATATATATGGGATAATCCTTGCCAACCAGATGGTGATGTTGCCAAGATCGTTTTTGGAGATGGTGATCCCCTTTTTTCATGGGCTGCTCCTGGAGATGGAGTCCTGGACCGCGGCCCAAGCCGGTCACGAACAAATGGAGCCCGTCTTGGATCGTGAAGATACCTACGCATTTCGCATGCATTTCGCCAATTGGCCATAAACCTCCGTAATTTCACCATGAATCAGGCCGGGACCTGAACATTTCAGGTCCATGTCCACTAGTCCCAGTATTTTTCATGAATTTTCATGCATTTTGGAATCCCCACGTCTCATGGCACTCCACAAACCATGGCTGTCATCTCTGCCGAACAAACCCCGAGATCATCAGTGAGTTGGAGTTTGCGTATCCCGGCAAGTTGCCCAGATCTTTTGGAGGGAGGCGGGCCGCATCCGGTGAATGATGAAGGTGAGGTTGATCCCGTTTCTTGAGTTTATACCCTCTGGTAAACATACAAAAAGCTATTGAACATGGCCATTTATAGTTGATTTGCCCATGAAAATTGGTGATTTTCCATAGTTATGTTAGTTTACCAGAGGGTAATAGTCTATGAATGTTTGTTTGGTAATGTGGAATATGTTTGTCTCACACCAAACTATGTTGATTTTCCGACCATGCGCTTTTGGACAGATGTAAGGCCTTTGGTGTCGATGTTGGAAACCATTATTCCAATATCTCCTATATTTCGGCAAGATTTGATGGTTACATCACCATACCAAACAACCAATGAATTCTGGGGAGCCATGTATTTTAGAGTGTTTTAAAGGCAATGTCCTACCTATTTGTTTTTTACTTATTACAGTACCTCTGTCAAGAAAATGCTGCCCTGTATCAGGGAGTATGTCCTTTATTTCTATTGTTTAAAAATACAATGTGTTAATTTGTTACCATGGCTAGCTGGAAACTGCCAACCGTTCACGGGAAACTACGGGATAATCATGGACATACACCGGTGATTTTCCAGCAAATCGGATCGGATCATGGGAATTTGTCCGAAAATAGGATGCCTCCCCCATTCCATCCACTGGATAATTACAATTATATAATAGTCGCCATTAACATGAATATTTGAAAATTGGTAATTATCCAACATTTTTAGACATGCATCCAAATATATCCAAATTATCATATCAAGTTCATCATCAAGATCTATCAATGCTTAGTCCATGTTCGAGCACCATTATCCTACCATGTTCCAAGAATTTTCCTATTTTTTCCCCAATGTTCCATCATAGTTTCCATACACTTTTGCAATCTTTTCCCGATGGTTCCATCATGTTTCCATCATAATTTCCCTATGTGTTTCCCCACATTTTCCCATTTGTTTCCACATTTTCCCATGATTTTCCCATGTTGTTCCACCATTTTCCTTAGATTTCCCTACATTTCCCTACATTTTCCCATGTTTTTCCCACAAGTTTCGGGCCATCGGGGATTGCCAGGATGGAAATGCCTCAGGGTCAAGTCCTCGCCGTGGCCGGCAAGTGCGGTCAGGGAAAGTCCACGTTGATCAGGCGGGCGCGGTCGAGATCTGGGATTTTGGATGGGATTTTGATGGATGTAGTGGGATTCTGAGCATATTATTGGGACATATTGGTACATATTTGGGATTTTGATGGACTTTTTTGTGTAATTTAGATGGGATTTTTCGGTGGGCAAACACATATGGGATGTGTGGGATCTTTTGATGGAATATTGGTTACTTTTTAACCATTGATGAATACAGAACCAGATTGAAAGACCAGCAATGGTTGGTTCGAACTATTTCCCAGCTGGCTAGTTCGATGAATTGCTCAGCAGGTGAACTGAATGGCGGGGTTTCCAGTTTTTAGCAACTTTTATATCTATTGGGTGGTGGCCATAAGCTACCAGTTAAGCACAGATGAGTGAATTTGACCAAAAATCCTTGGTTGATGGTCATGGGGTTGCCATATTTTACATGGTGCCTTTTTGCGGGGGGTTATTGATCCGGGGTCGACATTGGCTGGGTGGAAAGCGGTTCAACCATTGAGACATAGTTGTTGAAGCAACAAATATAGAATTGAAACATATTGAAGCCATCACTGGTTGGTGGTTTGGAACATGAATTTTATGACTTTCCATATTGGGAATAATCATCCCAACTGACTTTCATATTTTTTTGAAGGGTAGGTATACCACCAAACAGATCAAGTGCACCAATGGCCAATCTATGACTAGATGATGACGTGGACATTTACTGTAAGCGTTAAACAGTGGGATGGAATGGGGATATCATTTCTGGATATGAATCATATGGGTTTGGATGGATTTTGTTCAACATATGGCTGCATTGTGCAACGCTACAGGGGAAATGCTGGTAAGTGTGGTAAACCCTATAGGCCCTATAACTTATGGCATCCTAGAACTGGGTAAACCGACTGATTGGGTAGCTAAATTAGTTTCGTGACGAGATTTTGTCTTACCTCGAATGGCCATGACAACAAACATCAACTGGATGATGGTTTGTATGTTATATGTTGATGTGATCCATTTCTGATGGACTTAGGGACGATTTAGCTTTGGGTTTATCAGAATGACAAAGCCGCTTTTTGGCTTATTTGGTTGGTGAATCGACTTTCTTTTGGGCATAGCAAATTATATCCCATCATCATTTTCTGCTTTTGCTGCTGGGCAGTTTGATGCAATCCCAAATCCTTAGTTTAGCCCTGGCCCCAGTGATTTTTGGTGGCTTATAATGGTGGCTAATTTTATATAGCGGTATGTGCTTATGTCACTTATGTCCATGTAAATGTACTTTAAACGGTTGATATTATAATATATTATATACATATCCATATATCATTTCCATATATATATATATATTATATATTATTATATAATTATCACATATATATATATACATATGTCACACATTATAAATCCTCATTTTGAGGGTCATCAACAACATCCCAGCTATCAATTGGCTTCAGCCGTTCCGCCCAGGATGCTGGCCGGGCGCAACCTGCCCAAGCTCTGCAGCGAGGACTCCCTGTTCTTCATCCCGTCCCATATCAAGGCCACCGTCCACCGTTGAACGCGGCGAAGCGTTGAGAAATGTCCAGTTTAGGGATTCCAAAGATCGAGATGTCCAGATTATGGATTCAGCTATCAAGATCTATATCTATGTCTATACATATATAATCATATATATATATATATGATATATATATGTATACATATGTTTCTTGTATGTAAATGTAAATTAGTGATAGTCATTCCATTACCAGCGACCCGGGTGTTCCAAACGACACGACTCTGGGACCTCTGAGGTCCTCTATGTGCCGCATACGCCGCTCTTCATCCACGGCACCCTCTACGAGAACTTGATCTATGGCGTCAGCGGAAAGCGCCTCGGGATGCCGTGGGATCTGCGTGAAAGTTGGGGAAACATCAGCGGCATGACATATTTCTACGACAATAACAATGATACGCTCTGGTAAACATACAAAAAACCATGGAACATCACCATTTTTAATCGGTAAATCGACTATTTCTATGACCATTTTCAATTGCTATGTTTGTTTACCAGAGGGTAATGACACTGGCAATGATCATCATATATATTATAGCATCAGTTTTTGCATCATGGTGATGGTTTTCTTTTTTGGCATGATGATTGCCATTATGGGGTTTTGAACATTGTATGCAATGATGAGTTGATCAACTGCCTGTAGTTCCACCCAAAACGAGGATATCATCAACAACAGTGTGAATTGAACCAGTACCCTAGGGTAAACATACAAAAACATGTGGCAAACCTGGCTGGTTTCCCCAGGAGCATCGTCTACAAATGGTCGATTTTCCTAATCTATGTAAATGTTTACCCTAGGGTAACAGGGGTTTTGAAATTTCATGTGGAGTGCCGTGTTTCTTAACCCGACTGTTCACTGGTCAGACCGCAGATCATGGACCTGCTACCAGTAGCCAACCATTACTGGGGGTCCCTAAAAGAACCTACAAGGGGCCCAATTTCATAAACCTCTGCTGGGGATGGTTTATCACCATGGTTGCGCAGTACCATGTAGCCGCATAGTAGCCTTCCCCATGAATTCACGGTAGTGGTTGACCGTCACCATGAGGAGCAAATCCCGGCAAATCCCCTTTATAAAGTTCGCTGATTTTCCCAGCTTTAAACCTCCATTTATAACAAGTTCGGGAATTTCATGGAATTCCCAGCTAGCCATATTTGACTATCCGATGGTATTATATCTTGTTGAGTTCGTGCTCCAGAGACAACAATTTTATGGGATAACCTTCAGGAAACCTTCATGTTGAGTAGAAACACGTAAAAATACACAATTGACAACCATGGTAACATGGAATAATTGACAGCCATGGTAATATTATACATATGTTCATGTTGTAAAACATCCATGGTCTTCGGAAGATTTAGCCCTAAGCCAAGCCACAAAAAAAGGCCATTTCGCTTGGTGTCACCGTAAACCATCCCATGTTATTTTGGCTAATGTTAGTAAAACAATTAATAAACCATACCCAATTTCACCTACAAATAAGTAGGGCTCCCGCCCTGGTGCCGCCGATCCCCCTTTTTTGGGTGGCATGGCAGTAGAAAGAAGAGAGCATGTCGACATAATAAAGAAATATGTGATTATATGTGCCTTCGAAGGGCAGCTGGCCGTGGCTCATTTGCTCGCTTTGAAACGCATATAGAACCAAACCCTATATGAGCCGGCAGCCAAGCTTCAAAGGCTAGCTGCAAGCCTCCAAAACGCACATTCGAACGGCCTGTAGAACAAGTTGCAAAGGCCAGCCACAAGCAAGTTTCAAAGGCCAGGCGCAAGCGTCCAAAACGTACGTTTCGCCACAGTAGCGAAACTTTAACAGCATGGCAGTGACGGATCGTGCCTTCGAAGGGCAGCTGGTCGTGGCTCATTTGCTGGCTTTGAAACGTCCATAGAACAAGTTTCAAAGGCCAGGCACAAGCATCCAAAACGTACGTTTCGCCACACCGAAGCAGCATATGGCAGTGACGGATCGTGCCTTGAAGGGCAGCTGGTCGTGGCTCATTTGCTGGCTTTGAAAGGTTCATTTGCTAGCTTGGAAACGCCAATAGAACAAGTTAACAAAGGCCAGCCACAAGCCTCCAAAACGTACGTTTCGCCACACCGAAAACGCATGGCAGTGACGGATCGTGCCTTCGAAGGGCAGCTGGTCGTGGCTCATTTGCTGGCTTTGAAACGCATATAGACCAAGTCAGGCACAAGCCTCCAAAACGTATATAGAAGTAAACCCTTTTTGAAATACGATGCGCCGTGAGCTCCTGAACTTAAGGAGAGCCGCTGATGATGCTTCGCTGTCTTGGGCGCCTCCCCCTGCAATGGCAACAGCAGGGGTCGGCGGATAGGTGGTATAAACAATTCCCGCATGGATCGCATGGGTGGTTTATTATTGTTTTACTTCCATTAATCGGTGAAGATCCCCAGGAAAGGCCGAGATGACAACATGGACCGCGTGCTGAACATCTGCGAGCGGCTCATGTTGCCCCCGGTGGTGCTGGTGCGAAAACCAGGGAGAACGAGAACCACATTCGAAAAGGGGTGATTTAGCCCACAAAAATGGTGGTTCAACCAGCCAAAAAAATGATTTAGCCAACAAAAATGGCGGTTTAATCATCAAACATGTGATATTTAGCCAACAAAAACTGTGTTTTGACCAAAAGTGTTGATTTTTCATATGCCTCCAAGAAGACCGTTGGCATCTCGATAGTTTTGTTCCCCATTGAGACCGTTTCGGACATGCTGAACCGTTGCCTCATGGTTTCCCCTGTCCACAGCATCGCTTTGCCGCCAGAACGAGATTATGAAGCACGAAGTGATCGAACACGATTGGTCTTCGAAACTTTCTTCGACCCAGCTCCTTGGCGGATGTTTTGGTGATGCCGTCGCTTGCTGAAGAGTGAGATTTTTGAGGAATTTTCAGGTGAATTCGTATGGATCTGAATTTACGACAACAGAAATGATCAAAACTTAAACATATTCTGAGTTAAGTGGATGACTATCCAGCTATTGTTAGGCAAATGATCCGGATGAATCGTCACAGGAATGACGGGAAATGGATTCGGGGAAACATGGCCAAACATTTCATCTATTTTCAGGTGTGTGACTTATTTTAGGATTTTTCATTCAGTCTTCTTGTCACCGGGTCGTGGCTGGCCAGCTTTTGGCTAGACTCCTTGAGATGGCCGAGAGAGAGAGAGAGAGAGAGATAGAGAGAGAGAGAGATCTACCCCAATATTTCCAATCTGTTTACCAGCTAGGATGTGTCAATATAGGGACACACATATATATATATATATATGTATTTATATATATACATATATATATATATACACATATATATATACACCATATAACATAATCGTCATAATCATATTTCATTGTCAGTACAGTTAGTATCCATAGGATATCATGGAATTGACTATTGCAGGGACATGTAAACCATAATTATGAATATTATCTTCATATTGATGTTCAGCCGGATATAATGGGATATTGCAGGTGTATGATGGAATATCAATGGTAGTAAATGGGATGTCAATACATGTGAAATTAATATTATTACATACTCGTATGATATTTCTCCCTTTTATGATACATATTGCATGATAATGATTCATAAGTGGGATTCTTAAGCTGAACAATTATTTGGACATCTGGGGGTTTCCTAAAACGCGGCAACCCCAAATGGATAGTTTATGGAAAATCATGCTAAAATGGATGATTTGGGGGTACCCCAAATTTAGGACCTCCTACAGACCATAGTTTATAGTTATCGTAATGGTTGAATCATCCCGGAACATCCACCCGCCATCGGTACCATTTGGTACTGTAGGTGCCAGGCCTTACTCTTAGCTCGGGCCTTCATCGCCAACCCAGCAACTTGGCAAACGTGCGGTGGGACGTTGGACCAGTGAAGAAAGTCTGAGGTGTGAAAAACCATGGTGGGGAGTCAAATGGGGATTGAGATGGATTTTAGTTTTTGGATGGATTTAGGTAGGATTTCAGAATGGTTTAGTTCCCGTTAGTTCCCCATAATCCCCCATTTTCCACATCTTTTTGGATGAATTATCCGTTAGTTCCTCAATCCCCTATTTTCCACATCTTTCACAATATCCCTACATTAGTTCCCCATAATCCTTACATCTTTCACCACGGTTTCTACGTCCCACCCACGGATCGCCTGCGCGTCAGCACGGATCGCCAGGAGCTGATGTGCTTGGAGAAACCCACCGAGCAGTTCCCCAAAGATCAAGCGGAGAATATCTGTGCGTCCCCTGGCTACCGTCATCCCCCAGATTGGAACAGTAACATTGTGCTCAAAGAGTGATATTTTTAGATTATATGTTTGATTTTTTTTTGGGTGGGTGGCCCAAAAATATGATCCGCTTCAAAATGTGCGCTTAAGACTGGTATTTCTCCACAGTCTGCTGCGGTAAATTTTGGTTCAGAAATAATGTTGCCATTTTGATATATTTTGATGGGAGTATCTACTGGCCAAATTTTAATCTTGGTGCTTTAGTAAAGAATTATTTCCAGCTTGATAATAGTCAATACGGATTAATCATGGTTAGCAATGTTGACTATATAATGATGTTTATTTAATGGTGATATATGGTGATTAAATGTGATCGATGGTGACTAAATGATTGACAATGCTTAATAATGGTCAATATATAATGGTGATTGTTGGCCATCTGGAAATCAAACGTGGCTGGAAAATCCCTGAACTGTTCGTGGCGGTTTCTAGCTGGGAAAATCATCTATATAAACGGTCGGTTTTTGCCACGTTTGATTGGCAGATGGTAGATGTGAAATATCAATGTGGTACTTGAAAACCTGAAAACAAACCGGTAGGACATCCACCGGTTGGGTTTCCAAAACTGACTTTTTGGTCAATACCCACTTGCAATGCGAATTTTCCAGCCGCATTCACCTTGCCTATTATGGACATATTTCGAAACATTATGAATCACGACTTTCGTATGTGACATATGTGACTTACGGCATCTCTTGACCGTGCCTTAGGCATAGGTATATAACCTCATAGTTGTTGTTCATGTGACTGTTTATCCCATAGTTATAAGTTATACCAGATACATTGTATAGTATATAGTAAAATGGCATACTATATATATATATATATTATATGTATATGTCGTTATACCAATTAGACTCTAACATATACCGTATACCTATATAATATATTAATCCCCATTCAACGCGTTGGTTTACCCCGGTCCACCACTGCTCCTCCAGTGGACGAGGCTTCTGAAAGAACACGTGCAAGGACGAGGCCGGACCGATGGAATGTTTATGTTTAGTATCATCCATCTACCCTATGTTAAACTTATATACATGTATCATATGGAAAACCATGGTTAAGAGCTACTCATAGTTCTTAGCCATCCCCAGATGATAAAGGATGATACCATCTGGTAAACTTACATATGGAAAACCACCATTTTTTGTAGGTAAATCAAATATAAATGGATTTCAATAGCTATGTAAATTGTAAACTTGCATAGATATGGAAAACCAGCATCTTTAATAGGTAAATCATTTACAGAAATCAGCCATTTTCAATGGCAAACTATTCATTTTACCAGATAATAATATTAAACACCCCCATTGCACGGTCCCAAATATGTGGAAATATCCTACTAAACCATGGTTTCTTGGGGGTTGTTCAATATGAGCGGGGGAAGGGATTGGTATCAACCATCTAAGTATTGGGCTATTTAATTTTGGCTCATAGCCATATATATATATGTATAGAGAGAGAGAGAGAAGAACTATTGTATTTTCACCCCCTAAAAACGAGCTGCCAGTTGTTCAATGGGAATTCCAGGATCCTAAAGTGGAGGTACTGTACTATATAAGGCCATATTTTGGGGGTATATCCCCTTACATAGCCCTAAAAAATAGGCCTTATATATGGTAGGTACCTCCAAGTTGGGTTCCTGGAATGGCCATTGAGTTGTCGATCTCCTTTTCGGCCATGGAATCGTCACAAACTCTCACGTTTATTAGCTGGTTGGTGGTTTCAAACATGTTTTATTTTTCCATAATATATGGGATAATCGTGGATAATCCTTCCCATTGACTAATATTTCTCAGAGGGGTTGAAACCACCAACCAGTCAGTTTCAATCCTGATTTTTGAACTCAGACTGCGGATGAAAAAAGATCCGTCTGGGGCATGCCACGTTTCTTGGTGACATTTCCATCATATCCCCAAGCTATCTCCAATTTATAGATGATCTCCCCGGGATTTGTCCTGCTAGTTTGTAGCGTGTCCATCATGACTATCCAGTAAAATCTCTGCAAAAAATGGACCTTCATATCTTAAGTGCTTTCAGTTATCTCCCATTTATTTCCATATTTATCCTCACATATATATATATATATTATACTATATTATATACATTCATGTATAGTCTTATATCATGTGCTATCTTCCCATTGACATCAGCATCACTCCAATTTCTACGTATACCTACGAAGAAACTACCCAAACATCGGATGGCCGTTGCACCGTGTTGCACTCCCAAACTGACAACGGCCCGGCCCCTTGGGATCCCTAACGGATCTCTTTTGCCGTTGGTTTCGTCGCCAGGTTTGGAAGTGGAAGACGAAAAGATGGCGCTGCGCAGGCCGCGGACCTGCATCTTTTCGACCATCCGTCTGAGCCATGGCTGGAGACTTCAAGGCCCTGGGGAAGGTATGGTAAATCAATATAATTTAATACAAGAATATATATATAATATGTATGTAATATATATATATATAATATTCGAAGGAAGTTTAGAAGTCAAACTTCCGACAATATGGACAGATGAAAAGCAGAGCAGGGAAGAGGCAGAGAGAAGAGAAAGATTAGAAGAAAGAAGAGTAGAAGAGAAAGAGTAAGAAGAAAGAAGATGAAGATGCGCGAAAAGGTAGGAAAGTCGCGAAACACTGTGTTTTTCCAATGATTTGGGGCTCCGGAGGGTCGAAAAGTAGGCTCGCTAAAGCGGCGGGTGCGGAGCCAGCTGGCCAGATGAGAGATGAACAATTGCACGCCGTTGTGGCGCGAAGCACATTTCGAAGTCAAAATGTTAAAAGCACTAGGGGTTCGGACCACTTTTTGAGGTTCAGATGTCGCTTCGCTTCGCTTCACTACACTACATTACACTACACTACACTACACTACACTCTGCTACACTACAACTACAACTACACAACTACATCCACTACACTCCACTACACTAAATTGCACTACACTACGCTACACTACATTACACTACACTACACTACCTTCCACTACACTTCACTACACTCCGCTACACTACACTCCACTACAACTACACAACTTCACTCCACTACACTCCACTACACTCCACTACACTAAATTACACTACACTACACTACATTACACTACACTACACTCCACTACACTACACTACATTACGCTACACTACACTACCTTCCACTACACTTCACTACATTACACCACACTCCACTACACTACAACTACAACTACGACTGCACAACTACACTCCACTACATTAAATTACACTACACTACACTACATTACACTACACTACATTACACTACACTACACTACATTCCACTACACTCCACAAAAATACATACACTACACTAGATTACACTGAATGACACAGCACCACAGATAGACAGGTGGTGATCGATCTAAAGGTCCTTGTAAGGAGTTTTAATTGCGAAAGCCGTGCATGTTATGTTGGAACCCTCGCGAAAGTTTTTTTGTCGAGTTCGCGAAAGTAAAATTTTATTTTGCGAAAGTTTCGCGAAAGTTGGGCATTATAATCATTATATATATATATATATGTAAAGGGCTGCCACCCACTGCCGCCCGGGGTCCGGCAGGAGAAGGGCACCAGAGAATGCGAGTAGCAGTAGCCAAGTTTCCAAAAGTGAGGCTTTGCGAGAGCCAAACACCAAGGCCCCTGGTCTTCGCTTTTCCTTCAGTGCACCCCCTGCTGATGGCCGGGGTCTGTGAATAGGGATATTTTCGCGAAAGTTCCGCGAAAGTTATGCGAAAGAGCGGGCGAAAGTCAAAGTGCATGTTGAAGGGGGTGGGCCAGTAAACTTTGCAAAAAAAAATCTGTCCTGAGAAGGGATTCCGTGATGCTAGCTGCATGTTTAAAAGGCTACCAAGAAGTGATCCGTGATTCTCTGGCCTAATTTGGCAGGTGGTGAACGAATCTTCATAAGAGGTGTTGTTGGCCAACATGGGCCCCGCGAAAGATAAACGTGGAGTTCGCGAAAGTTTCGCGAAAGTAAAATTTTTATTCGCGAAGAATGGCCGTTCCGGGATAAAGGAATTTTGATCAACAACCAGGTAGACAGATAGATAGATAGATAGATAGAAAGATAGATAGATAGATAGATAGACAGATAGACAGATAGACAGATAGACAGGTAGACAGATAGACAGATGAAAGAGAGAGAGAGAGAGATAGATAGATAGATAGGTAGGTAGATAGAAAGATAGGTAATTAGATGAAAGAGAGAGAGATATATATATAGATAGATAGATAGATAGATAGATAAATAGATCGATAGATAAATAGATACATAGAAGATAGATAGGTAGGTAGATAGTCAGAGAAAGAGAGAGAAAGAGAGGAGACCTCAAGCACCTTTCGGTCCATCAGTGGATTCTCTCTGCCATCCCTGATTCACAACAACCAACCTCTCTTATAGGTTTCCTATTTTTGAAACTTCCGCCACCGCCTTGTGCGGTACTACTGGTATATATCTCTATATAGTATTTATATAAAACATCTAGAAACACATACTCGTAGTAATGTTCGTATGGTTCAAAACTATGCTTCATGATTATGCCCTATGTTTTTTTAAACGTATTTCTCAAGGTGAATTCAGTTGATTTCGCTAGTTGAAGCCGAGGAAGTGCATCCACACAGCGGACACGGCGTACATTGCCGCTTGCCTCGCCCTGATGCTGTTGGAACACGGGTCAAGCGAATGGTGAATGCAGTGTTTTTTTGGGCCGTTCTGTGTTGGAATTGTTTTTGAGGAATCCAACGTATCCAAAGATCTAGATAAAAACATGATGAATTATGATAAGACCTCACTATGACGTCACTGGAATGATGGTTAGGATAAGGAGAATTATACCAAATGGCCTCAAGGGAACAGCTATTATCAGGTTAGTGAATTAGCCAGTAATTAGCCAGAATAATGTACTGGTAGGTAGTATCTAAGAACTGACTTCTTTGATCTTCTTTGCAGAAATTTGGGCCTTGGAAAATCAAATTTCAATCACTTTGTCACAAAAAACAGGGTTGCCCCAAGTCATTATAGGTAAATTATAGCCACAACAGGTGTAAATGGGTCATTTTGCGTCTACATTTGCCCCATTGACATCCTTGTACCTGGAGTGTTTGGAGCAAACCTGAAAATGACCTATGAAACCGAGTGAATAGGGTTCTAACAAGACTAACTTTCCATCACTCTCTAAAAGGGTATAGTTTTCTGAACCTGCTGCGTTCAAACTTTGGTTTCTTATTTTTTTTGCGTTTATCCCCAAGCTCCGGGAACGAATTTCAAGTGTTGAATTTGGTGGAATTTTATCAGGGATGGTCTGAGTAGGGGTAAACCACTCTGGTGGACCAAGAGTCTAATGCAACCCCAAACCATACGAATTATACATATAAACACAGCTCAAACGCAGAAAATACAGCTCTAATTTTTTTTTTTGTGACGTCAGACTCCTCCAGTCACTGAGTCGGTGCCTGGGGTTTTTCATTCCCTTCAGTTCTGAGGTGAATCGTGATGTGGGAATACGGATCATGCCAGGTGCGTGTTTGGGGGTACCCAATAGCTGGATGGTTTTTGTTGAGGGAAAGTGTCCGAACTAGTGGATGACACCTAGGGGTTCCCCTATTAGGAAACCCCCATGGAAACTTCAAGTTATTGATTTACGCGGTAGAGGTATGTATAGGTGATGTTATTGCTAATTGTTTGTAGTTATGTACGGATTCTATTGGATGATGTTCCATTGCGCCATCAAAAGAAAAAGCCGTAAGCAATTTGTATCAATTTGTAAGGAACTAATGGTATGTTGGAAACATAGAGATACAACCAATAAAGATACAACCAATATCAACCATCAAAATTTGGATTGCCGGAAAACTTTTGGTCTGAAGGTGTGAGGGCTCATGTTTACACCATGACCGAAAATACCTCAGATATCGATCTTTTTCTGCCGGCGGGCTCAATGCAAATGGGATGATTCCCAATGACTATATCTGTATCAATGGGCCAACCACCAATTTCTAGATCTCCAAAAAAGTCATCGCCCTTCAAAGAGAAGCATCAAACAAATAGCTGGTTGGTGGTTGGGAACCATGGAATTTTCTGTTTCCGTTCAGTTGGGAATGTCATCATCCCAACTGACGAACTCACTCCATCATTTTTCAGAGGGGTTTTAGGGCAACCACCAACCATCTTATTAACCATCATTAACCATATAATAACCATCATCATTAACAGTATATCAACATGACTAATGAACCAACCAAAGTCATCATTAACAGTATATCAACATAACTATAGTTATATCAACATCCCCATCATTTCACCAATAAAGTCATCAACCACCGACCAAAATCGGAACGTTTGGGTCCTCCAGGTCATCCCAGGTCCCAGGTCCCAGGGTCCCCTTCCCAGGAAAAGATGTCACGGAAAGCCATCTCGCCTTTCGTGAATGATCCGTGCTGCAACGAAGCGCTGGGAAATCAAGTGGGACAAACATGGGACAAACATGGGATAAACATGGGGAAATTGGCATGTTTAGTTAAGAAGCCTTGAAAACCCTTGAGAATTCATGGGAGAAAATGGGCTTTAATACAATCTGGGCCCACATCTAATGGTCATTGGGGTAAGTGATCCACAACGTGGTGGTTTAATCGATTTGACCCATATTCCATGGGGATAACAGGAAGAGTCGCCAGTATGTTTTCTTTGTGAAGCTGAGACACTCTGATCAAGCTGACAATTTCTCTGGGCAAACCCTGTTTGAGTACATAGGGTATTACGCTAACACGTTGCAAGAAATGCAGGCAGCATGCAAGTTCGGGCAATTGAAAGACATCCCCTTGTTTTAGAAGACTTTCTGCTGAGAGATCTTTTACGCTGACAAAAAAAATTACCGCTCCCTTGCCAGCGCAATGTGCTGGCGGTAAGACACTGGCCCCTCTGACTGAGACGCAAGTCACTGCACGAACATTATCGCAGTTGGGAGTTTTTGGTGTCTCACACTTGCTATAGGCCATGCGATGTTTTGACAACAGGTTTCCAGACCCCTTGAAATGAGAACTCGGGACATGCATGAATCGATGACAGTATAGAAACTTGGAAGTCTGTCGGAGCTGGCGCGATTTGGTTTCATTTCGCTGTCTTCTGTGGCCAATCTTAAAAGTGGGGCCACCATCATCCAAGAATACTTCTTGCATATATTCCGATCCTGACAGGGGTTGGTAAATGTCCTAATTGAACATCACCCAACTATTGGGGATATAATCACCAACAAATACTTGAAAGTGATGTTCAAAATCCCCAAAACAGGACATTTACCAACCCCTGCCTGAGTATTTGGATGTATGGCGTTTCTTAACGGTTTCCTCCGACGGCTTCCGGCCTTCGCTTCGTCGCAGTGAGTTGTTTCATGGTTGGAAGGGGCCTGGGCAATGTCCCAGATTTCTGTGCCCAGTTTGGCGCACTGCACTGAGAAAGTTTTGGCGCTCCCTTCCTGCGCGGTGTGGGGGTGTGTTGCGAGGTGGTGCCCCCAAGCCTTAGCTAAGTTGGTTTCTTAGGATGGCTTCATTTCCAGCATTTTTTTGATGGGTTTATTTCTTTAAATCATTATAAATCTATAAAATTCTATATGTTGACCTAGTGAGATGGGTGAAGATACACCAACTTATAACTGGTGGCCAACATCTGGTAGGAGCATAATTTGATCTCGTGGTGGGTGGTGTCATAAGGCGACACGTGGTCACTGGCTGCGTCTTCCGCTAGAGGATTTCAGTTTACCATGTACCCTTTGGTTATGTCAAAATAGCTATTGAAAATGGTGATTTATAGTGGATTTACCCATTGAAAATGGTGATTTTCCATAGTTATGCTAGTTTACCAGAGGGTAAACATCCTTTCCCCTTGGCTATCTAATCTTATCTTGCTTGATGACAGAGGGCACCATACTTTTATTTCCAAGAAGAAAATTCATCCACTCTGCAATTCAAAGATTTTAAAGTGACCTGGGACCTGGGGATAATTAATCACTTGGAATGGTCTGATAGGTTTATATGGGTTTGTTTGAAAATAGGCTGATTTCACCTAAGTCCACCGGTTCATCATCATTTTCCCCATTCAACTTACCATGTTTGATGATTTTTTGTGTTGGTAACCTGGGTTTGCCCAATATTTATTGGCCCAATATCATACACCACCTACATCTTCTTAGGATCAGCGATGGTCCCAACAGCATTTCTGCAACCTTCTGAGCCTCGCCCAGGGGAAGGCCATCACTGTGGATATGGCCAGGGGCCCGGCTTCAGGAATCATCCCCCGAGAATCCTGTGCTCTCTACGCTTCTAAGAATGGATCGGTTAAAGGGAAATTCTATACCGGGAAACCATGCTAATTTTCCCCCAAAAAAAACCTGATAAAACAGGTAACAAATTAGTGTTTTCCAGTAAAATGGTCTCTTCAACCAACCCATTGAAACTTGAGAATTCTATCCTGCTGGGAACCATCCTGGGCAACTCAGGCGATGCCACCGCCAGTGGCCTTGTCCCTTGACCGCAAAAATAGCGCTTGATGTTGACGGATTCCCATAGGTTTTATGGATGTTTTATGGTTTTCACCTATAGATCTGGGGGCAATACCAGGCTTCCTTGCAGCTTTCTCCAAAAAAAACGTGACTGGGTGGATTTTTGACCGAATTTCGGCCGCCAAAGAGTTTGGAGCTCAGGACCGACCATCGGCGACGGAACCGGATTCCGCCCAAAGAGGAGGAGAGCGCCGCTGATGGTGGATCAGCCCCAATCAAAGTATGGATTCAAGGGAAAAATATGGAAACATGGTGAAACTTCAACAATTTCAGGCTTTACCATGGTTTAGTTTATTTGACTCTTTTTCCCATTATAAAAAGTCGGAAAGGTAGAGATATTTATAGTGTGTTTTTTGTTGAAAAGCAAAATGCTTTCTCACAGTGTTGTTTGCCCCAACAGACCGAAATCATGGTTCCAACATGCTTCAACCATCTTTGCATGATGATCCTACTAAAATCCCTGGTTGGTGGTTTGGAACATTTTTTCCCATAAGAATTATATATAATCCTTCCCAATTGACTTTCATATTTTTCAAGATGGTCAAAACATGTTAAAACCACCAACCAGCATCAACTCCCATTTTGCCCGCGTCAAACTCATCTGAAATCCCCGGTTGAATCCCCCCAGTGGCGCTCCAACTCCCCGATTCGATCGACCCCGAAACCCTTCGGAACCCTTCGGAGCCATTTCGGCCCGTCGCGCGCGAGACGCGCGGCCCTGGCCTTTTTTGTGTCGCGTGGGCGCCCGGGTCTTCTGAGAGTTGATGGCTAGATATGGCTAGATATGGGTAGAAAGGGTAGGACATAAACACCATCGGGGCACAGATATGCACAGATAGTTGGAACGTTTCCGAAAAAATGTGACCTTTTTCATCCTTTTTCCAACAATAAATCCAGATCCGTTCAATCATGGATGGAAAATGCCTTCAAAACCAACAACCAAGCACAGGATCGCGATCTTAGAAGCTGCACAGGGGGTTGGGGGGTTGAAACCACCAACCTGTGATTCTTTGTTGGAGTCTTCAGGCACCCTTGGATGATGGGACCCCCGAATGCCAGTGTACCTTCATGACATTTGATTGACCATTCTTGAGGTGATTTCCCAAAGAAGGCGATTGGAGACCTGCCAGTGGCTTTAAAGAAGTTCCATGAACAAGTTGTTTCCTCCTCCCAATTCATTCGCCGAAATGGCTCGTATTCATAGACTTTGCTGATTTCAAGTTCTCTTACTTCTCACCCTGACTTAGCTCAAATCCTTTGGCTTAGCATACAAAAAGATATCAAAAGGTAAACATGATAAAATGGTTATTGTTTTTTCATCATTATAATAGATCCCATTTATTGCTATGTATTCTAAATGTTTAGGGATTGTTGATCCTTGTGGCCCCGAAAAAACCGCTTCTCCGTTTAGGGCGTGTGACTTTCAGCCATGTCCGGAGTCCCAGCTGCGCATCCGATCCCGGGCGCGATGAGAAATGCCATGCCAGAAACCCATGGGAAATTCGGGTCATTGCATCGAGATTACGAAAAAAAACAATTACAGTAATATTTGGGGAATTTGGGGCTAAAGCCGTGAAAATTCGGGCAGATTCTGCAGATTCTTTCCCTTGAAAAATATCTTTCAATCAGAACTTTGGTGTGTCATGATGAAAACGCTGATCTCTAGTGGAGGCCGGTGAGGTCGTGGACAACTTCTGCGGCTTGGGGATACAATACCCAACAGTGTTCATTTATCGCATCCATCCCTCAAAATGAATTACTTAATCTTAACTAGTCAATCTCTATCAAGCCAAACCATATTTAGTGGAATCTTAAGTTGGTCTATCTTCATTTTTCCACTTTAATCGAATCATTCTACCGTTATCTATAGCAAAAGAGTTAAAACAAGAGTTACACAGAATTAATTTCTATTTTAATTCTTGATATCATACATGGTTCTACAGACCCCTTGTATCTATTGAACTTAGTTTTAATTCTCTGCATCAGAGTGACAAGACAGCGGTTTGAACTCGAGGTTTTATTCTTCATGTGCAGTGGTGCCATCCTGTGGAATTAACTCCGGATTTAATTCCTTTTTTATCGGGTGTAGTTTTCTCCTGTTTTCATTCTCTTCCATATCTATATCCACTACAAGGTGGTGCCCTACAAGCTGGGACCCCCGTTGTTGTGAATAGCCAAGTTGGTTTATAGCTCCGATTTCACTCGGGTTTTTATGGCTATTAGCATCTATGAGCATCTATTGTAGCATCTATTAGCTGTAGGCCATTCATAAACCATATAGTTATAAGTGTTATAACTATACTTCAGGTGGTGAACATAACTCAAATAGCCATGGTTTATGATACATTTTTTTGCCGTGAATCCATGGGCTTGCATCAGCCATCCCTGGACCCCCAGATGGCACCTTTTTTCACCTCCAAGGTTCGCCTGCTGCGCTGGGGACAGCCAGGCCGACTCGGCCTTGGAGGCCTGGTTGGCTTCAAAAATTCACGGAATTTATCGTTGGGAATTGATATTTTTCCAAGCCAGAAATTGATGTGAATTACCCTCTGGTTATGTCAACAGTTTGCTATTGAAAATGGCCATAGAAATAGTGAGTTTTCCCAGCTATAAAATGGTGATTTTCCATAGTTATGTTAGTTTACCAGAGGGTAATAAAATTGTTGGTGACAATTGTAATGGAGTAGATCCTTGGTAAGTGAATTGGTAAGTGAATTGTGATAATTGTGATATCTCGGGATGCGTTTCTGCGATTCTGAAAAATGAATTATCATGGGTTATTCTGATGTATCATTTCAAATGTTCAAATTCCTAAAATTCACAGTTGCAGGTTTTATTTTTTTCATTATTGCAATGATCATAATTTATCCCAGGTGATGTTCAATATTGCAATTATCATAATGATGGTTTGTTACAATATTGATGGTGATTTTTTCTACCATAATTATCCATGATTATTGGATATTGTGTGCATTTTACGGCAGACATGGTGATGACACCTTCGGAGATACATAAATCGAAGGCAGAAATGCGATGTCGGGTATCACCAGATGTTAAGGATCAACATTAGTGATCGTTAATGGTGATTGATTGATGGTTAATGGTGATTAATGGTGATTAATGGTGATTAATGGTGATTAATGGTGGTTAATGGTGATTAATGGTGATTAATGGTGATTAATGGTGATTGAACATTTCATATTAGAAAGGTCCCATTGCCATGCTTGATTCCCAAGAATTAGTTGAACATTTGCATGCAACAGCTGTAAAGATCCTTTCAACCAACCGAATGATACCACATGACTCATTCCCCAAAACTGTCAAAACTGTTTAAGGGAACCTTTCTGTTTGAATCACCAATACCGTGTTGGCAAAACACAACTTCCGTGTAACTTATAGATCTTCCATAA